ATGACCATGATACAAAAGAGTTCAGCATGACCATGACATAACAAAGGTCAACATGACCTGTATATAGGTCAGCATGACCATGACACAACATAATTCAACATGACCTTGATACAACATAGGTTAATGTGATCATGATACAACAAAGGTCAACATGTCCGGGATACAAAAGAGTTCAGCATGACCATGATACAACATAAATCAACATCACCATGATACAACATAAATCAACATTACCATGATGCAACATAGGTTAACATGACCATGATACAAAATGACCATTTTCAATTTTACAATAACTAACCCAAAGATTGCATAGAAATTAGCAAAAACATTCATAAGCAAATAGAATGTATCAGCTAATACCACCGTAAAATTGTTTCAAAATAACTTTTCTTTAAATAAAAACATTCCTACCAACACTTCAGTGTTCAAAGTTAAACATCTTATCAGGTCAGTATATGTAATCTAATAAGAGCATCTTATGATTGGATATTTTAGCATTGGATTAAAAAGGGCTCTGAATCATTAGCAGATGGGATATAATGATTTGTTTATAATAAGTTATAGCAGGATAAAATTAGCGATAATCGGATTAAGACCAACTGTCTAGTACATGTATTGTCGTGCCATATCTAATTATAAAGTCTCTGTATATGAACTGAACAATTCTTTTCACTTCAATTTTTATGTCCCTGAAATGGTGACATACTGTTAAAGCCATTATTTTTTGTGATTGGCATTAGGTCGTCTATTGTCATCATCTGTAATGGTAAATTGTCATCAAATTTTTGAACAACAATTTGAAATACAAGGTGGTTATACAGTTATTTATTATATCACTGTCATATTCCTCACTCTCTTATTGGTCCATGTCGTACACGTGACTAAAAAATAAGTAGCGATATTCAACGGAAGTCACGTAACTTCCGGTGAATATCAAATGATATTCAACGGTCATGACTTATATATCCCCGGTGTTGACTTAGTCCTGTGTAATTTTCATTTTATATACCCCATAATAACCCAAATGGCAGACGGTAAACAAAGGTTTCCAAATATTTCTGCTGAAGAAATTGATAGAATCCACGGGAATATTCATTCAGATAACACAATAAAGGCAACAAAAAGATCAGTGAAGATCTTTCAAGATTGGATATCTAGCAAAGACGATGTGATTGATTTGGAAAACGTATCAAAATCGACATTGAATAAAAATTGAACCAGCTGTATTTGGAGGCACGATCAATTGAAGGGGAACACTTTAATTATAGAAGATGTTATGACAGTGATATAATAAAACAAATATTTAATTCTATTTTCGGTGAATACCTGTGACACTTTCACAAGATGATATTCCACTAGCCCTTCGGGCTTCGTGGAATATCACTTGTGAAAGATGCACAGGTATTCACCTCAATAGAATTAAATATTTGTATAATATTATGTCAATGCATTGGCATTGTTTAACAATTATTTCCATTTGGCCTCTATGTTTTAAGAACCTTTTAATGAGAAAATATTAATCTAGTATCAACATCATTCACTTAACAATATGTGTGTGTGCGTGTATATCCATAATATTATAAAAGATCAATTAATTGTGCAGAAGTATGTGGTAGAAGGACTGTTCAATAAATATTGCAAGTGACTATCTGTCTCAATATATATTTCAGTACTGTCAACCCCTAAAGATTTTCTCGCGGGACAGATTTTTTAGACCAAGTGCCCAAAATTTGCGGGACATCTACTAAATTCGCGGGATTTCGCGGGACATTTAAGGGATTTGCGTGATTGTGCTAATAGGCCAATTTTTTTTTATCAAATTCGCGGGATTTCGCGGGACCATTCGAGGGACAAACACCCTAATTGCGGGACAGTTAACAGGGGTACCACCAAAAACTTCATAGAGGGACAGATTTTTTAGACAGAGTGCCCTAAATTTGCGGGATTTCGCGGGACATCCACCTAAATTTGCAGGATGTCCCGGGACATTCAAGGGATTTGCGTGATTGGGACTAATGTAAAAGCGTGTAAAAGTACTTAAATCAAACTTTCAGATACTGATTAATCAAATATAATGCACCGTTACATTGTAACTTAAATAAACGTCAACACAATTTCACAAAATACGCATAGGAATATTATTATACTTCATTGTAATTTACCAAAAACAAAAACCATGCTTCAGGTGTGAGTACCGTAATCTAACACGAAATTCAAAAACTCGGAACAATACTTTGCACTTCTGGCGTCGTGACCAACTATGAAACGCTTACCCCCATAATGTTATATATTAAAATGTACCTATTCATATACTGTAGGCATGGGCTTTCAATTGATTAATCTACATCAAATTATAGGAAATGAGGTTACTTTTCTAGATAGGGTTTGTAGAAAAAACCGGGTACTGGGTAGTAAATCCTCCATGCTGGATTCAAACTTGGTACCCATTTTAAGGCTCTTTTCTTCCTCTATCATCATGGTCATATTTCCATTGGTAACGAAGGGGGGGGGGTGCGGTGGTGCGATCGCACCCCCCCCCAATAACCAATGAAAATATGGCCATGACGATAGAGGAAGAAAAAGGCCTTAAAATATGCTTTTTATTTGAAGCTTCTAGCTCAATTTTGAAGGATGTTACATACATTTTTGTAAATTCAAAACAAATCTTACACGTTTTCTCATAATCTATTATGTTATATATTCGTATTTTTCGTTTTTTGGGTTCCCGTTTTTTTGACCGGGTACCGGGTACCAAGTTTGAACCCAGCATGGAGGATTTTCTACTCGGTACCCGTGTTTTTCTACAAACCCTTTCTAGATATCAGCGTCCATTTATTGTAACTCGCGTTTGCTAATATTTGCTCAGTTCTGAGATGAAGGCCACACGGGTAGTAAAAAGGCCAACGTTGGAACTATTTGTGACCTACATCCCTATTTTCGTAATTAAAATGAAAGTTGAACCTTTCCCCTTTATTTTGATACCAAACAACAGCATCAGGCCTGTCAACTTGGGAACACCTAACATGAGTGACTTAGAAATGTTGAACACCTCCCCTTAAAATGTGGACTCCTTGGTCCAAATCTGGACACCTTGATCCAAATTTTGAACACCTTGGTTTAAATTTTATTACATCTTGCCAAATTTTGTACACCTCAAATTTTTCGCGCTCGATACGCTCGCGTTTCAAACATCCGTCAACGGGGGGGGGGGTAGGTACGAAAAATTTTGAACGGAATGCGTGACATATACATAATTCGCGTGAAAAGTCCGAACGAAATGCGTACATTTTTTTTCCGGCGTTCGTATTTTTGCTGTGTAGACGATCTTTTTTAGAAATTTTTCTACAGAAATTTTTTTGCTTGACAATTACCAGGTAAAATGCGTATTTGCGTGACATTTTCTGTCACGCAAAAATAACTGGCGTGACTTCAAATTCTTCAGCAAATGCGTGACAAATACGCAAATTGCGGGACAGTTGACAGGCCTGCAGCATGCTAGGTACTTAAAATTAGGTAAACTTTACTCCTCAAAAGTGCAAAAACTTATAAAAGATAAGATAATCACAATATAGGGGATTGCAACAATTTCGGAAATTCGCGGAGGTCAAAGCCACATTTGCGGGACTTCGCGGGACATTGCGGGACACGCGAATTAGCCTAATTTTGATCAAATTCGCGGGATAATCCCGCCATTCGCGGGACACTTGACAGCTCTGATATTTGGAGTCATGTTATCATACATAGTGGAAATTTGGTATATATATTTGGTATATTTTATTCAACACTTACATGTAGTAGTGTTTATAGGTAAATAACATGCAGGAATATAACTGATATCTGAAGTGAGCGGGTCGTATATAATACGCTGATATCACCCGCTCATCAGATCTACGACATCACAAATCCAAAGAGTAGATACTGAGCCAGGGGACTTGGCTATCTACTAAGTATAGAATGAATCAGTTATTAATGCTCAATTTCCCCCGGGTTGATATATTGCATCTCCCTCACATAAACCCTGTATCAAAAACATTAAATAACCTTTAAATCCATGGAAATAAATCCAATATCACTAAACAAACTGTACAAAAACAGCATAATTGTTGTTTTACCCAAAACATAAATAACAATTTTTTCATACATAAAAAAGTTCTCATAATGGAAAAAGTAGACACTGCTTAGGTTTTGAACTTATTATAAAATGCTTCCTCAAAACAATTATTAAAAGATCCTTTCAAGTACTATACTACTCTTGGTGCTTGGCTGATCTTAAAAACATTAAAATGTTAATATACCCCGTGTAGGACTATGGGAAAACTCTTAATGAAGATCGGCTATAAACACAAGAAGCGTGGCTTTCTTGCTTGATCTTCGGAACCTCAGAGTCTGTTGTCTTGGTGAATATTAAAGGGGTAGTAAGTTACTATTCTGACTGGCCTATGATCTTGAAATCATCGTTTAACACCAATTTCATTATAATTTTCCATGTTCTCCATAGTATAATATTGAAGAAAGACAGTGGTTACAGCTTGTATTGCTTTTGGATCATGCTCACTGTCGGGTTGTGGAACCTTAGAACCACTTTTGAGCCAATAAGGCATATCTTATCTTTAATTACATATGTTGTCACTGATGATGTTACACATGGTATCACAGATGATTTCACAATATAAGATATTCTGAATTTGATGTTATAAACAAAAGGTAGTGGTCTTGCCTAAGACTCTGACCCCCCCCCCCTCCCCCTACCCTATCTACTTCACTTCACTATCTACCAGTTATGTTGGTATTGTGTGGGTCAAGGTGAATATATAGGGGGTACACAGTCTTTAAGCAAGACTATAGGGTAGAGGATTCACTTGAATTTTGAGAGTGCATCAGGTACCTATTCATCAGGTGCCATAGCAACTAAATTTGCAACATAGATCTCTGAGATCACCCCTTGTATGTGTAATAATAATTACATCAATATATTAGTACTCTCTTTATACTTTCAGGCCACATGATGGCTAGGAGTCGAACAATCCACTAAAAACTACAAGACAAAGAGATTATTATTAACAAAGACTAAGAAATCCTAGGATATTATAAAAATGGCTGGAATGCCATTTGTGGCTGATGTCTCATACTATCCAGCAGCTTGTATAAGTTGCTTGTTCTTCCTGTTCTCCTTTAAGATTGTCAGCCCTAAGTTATCGCAGACATGGATTCCTGGATATAATTTCCTGGCACCTGATAAACAGGTGGAGTGGAACTCTCGGTGAGTAATTATACTAAGATTTTCGACATCTAAAAAGTCACTCGACTTTTTTGTGATTATGAGTCAAAGAAAGCATTCTTGAGTTTCAAATTGACTTCTTTGGTAACTTGAAACCATCTTCTAATTTATTCCACTTACCTTTTATTGTTTCTCCAAATATATTTTTTGAAAATCGGATTTAAGGGTGTTAATCAGGGCAATTCTGTGCCATTTTAATCAAAAATCTTGTTGCTACCTAGAAACGAGCAATTGTGATCTTGTTGTTACCTAGGAACGAGGAACTGTGATGTCACGTCACACTCGTGTTAATTCTGGAATCACATGGCAGCCATTTTGGAAATTTCAAAAAAGTTCCCAATTAAAAAGGTTAAATGCTGTTTTCAAATTGGAAACTATTGCAGAATCAACAAAGGGTTTGTGAAATAATTAGGATATGGTTTCAAAATTATTCACATGACAACTAAATGCAGGCAGGGCTTTTTAATTGCCAAAAAGTTGAGTGTCAAAAAGCATTGGTATCTACCTTAGTAAATAATATTCAATTTCTTCAGATTTTTATAACAGTTTTAAATAACAAGATATATACTACCTTCAGAGCCTGTCCAGTTAATGGTAACTAATATTTTTAGCTTTGTGCACTGTACATGATTTCATAAAATGTATAGAATATCCACTTTAAAAATATATTTTCCTAGCTGATTAAAAACTGGTTCAGGCATTATGAAAATTATTTTCTCATATGATAATTGAGATCTGCTTCGATATTGTTTCTTTATCGAAGCTTATTAAAAATAGATAATCTTTGACAAGTACTCATGTCAGAACCTCTTCTTTATGTTGTATTTCATAATAATTGGATCCAAAATTCCTATTTGTTGGGTAATATGACAGAGATAACAAAAGTGCATGAATTATATGCATTAGGGTGTTTCACTTTTAGACTTTTTTTCAAATCAAGATGGAGTTTTGCCCAGTTGGCCTCCTACTCCTACTCCTCCAGTTGGCAAATCACTGAAGTGCCTTTGGTAGAACATGGTCTCAAACATGATGAAAATAACACTCTCTGTAATTTTTAGACGATTATTAACATGGTAGCGAATGGGCATCAAAAAGTGTGGTAGGGGGAGTCATAGTCTCTGGATTTGGGTTGAAATTTTTTGTGCTTGCTTTCCTTTATTAGGAGACCAACTGGGCAAAACTCCATCTTGATTCGAAAAAAGTCGAAAAGTGAAACACCCTTATATGTACTTTTACCTAACAACTTGTTTGTAAGTAGTAAGTAAAAAGACAGTATTGGCTTTTTGATACTCAACTGACAAAAATATCTTTAAATTAATTCTTTGTATTGCTGATATGAAAATTCTTTAAAACCACTTAGATATTAATATTCTCTAAAACTAGTTAGATTGCACCAAATGGCATTTATGGTTGAGAGCAGTATCATTTTTGAGTGTAATTCTGAGTGAAGCAGCACTCCTTGTTTTTACAGCCCAGAATAAAGTTTACATTTCCTGTTCATGTACATGTAATTTATTCAAGCATGATGATTGATCATCAAATGAAAATAATAAAACTACTTATATGGCTCAGTCAAATCATAAAAATATTTATCATGAAATAAAAGTAATTTGTTTGATAAAAAGCACATAGAAATACATTTACATTGTTTTTAATGCAATATTTATTAGATTATTTATCCAGCTGTGAATCTTAATATAATGCTTTTATTAAACCACATGATGATTGTGCTTTTGTGTGTTTCAGAATCAATTCCAACGTCCATTGTGCTCTTGTTAACACCATGGTTGTGTATGCATTACTGATGGATGATGAGCTGCATAGAGACCCCATCTGGTAGTTGCCTTAATTATTCATACACTTAACTCAATAACACTTACCATAAAGAGCTTTTCACTAGGGGATTTCTAAATTTGTTGTTGCTGAATCAGCTTGGGGGAGGTAACTGTCACAAGATGATCGCATTGTACGCATTGTTCTCTAGTATTATTTTGTCATCACCAAAGTGATGTGGACAGTGTTCGGTGGTCCGCGTTCAGAGTCTTTAACAAGTTGTGTTTGGTGTCTCCAACAATTAGCAATAATTTACAAAGTGGTGACATTTAATCATCTTATTGCCATATTATTCATATTATAGATATCTTATATTGCTTTTGAAAAATCTCATAAATTTATTGCATTTATTTATTGATTTTATATTTTCTTCCTTTGTGTAAGAAATTAGAGTTTTGAATTCATTAGATTACAGTATCAAAATTTATTTAAGTTCTATTAGAACCAGGATGTGGCAATCAAGTAGTTGTAATCTCTGGAGTCATCCATCCTTTCAAGCCATTAAATGTACTTAACTTTCCCCACGAGTCCATTATGTACACCCAATCTGGTATGTGGTTTAAATTAAAATATAAAGTATTCATTAAAACACATGCTTTAACTTCCCCCACAAATAACCCAGATTGTGGGGATGATTATAATTTTAGGAAAAAGAAGATCGAACGAAACTAGTTTTTCGAATTGCAGATGTTAATGATATCAAAATAAGATAACTGTATTTCAATTTTATCTGCTATATGGAATCAATATTTTCATTCACCATCTGTTGTGTTGTTAAACAAGCAACAAGCAATAGAAATTTGATTGAGACTAGGTTTAAACCAGTATACATTGTAGTATCAACTGACAATTAGAAAGTTTTGTTTGTGGAAGTTATCTTATGAAATACTTATGATCTCTAAGCACCGTTTGTCCATTAGTCCATCCGTTCATCCAGAACTTGATCAGCAATTTGAGTCTTTTGATAACTCACTGGAGTCAACATGATTATTTTAGACCCGCATTGCTTCGATAATGCAACTGTACCACTATTTACTGCTCCAATACTAATTTTGTGTTAAACCAATCAAATTAGACTGAAGCATTGCATACATAATGAAATATGATCATTTATTTCTTGTAGGGCTAACTCAGCGGTGGTGAAATATGAATGTGCAATAGTGGTAGGATACATGGCATCGGGTAAGTTTTCTAATATAAAAGGTATTACTTATAGTAATTATCTTGATTATGTGTTTTAAATATATGACATAAAACCTTTTGTAAAATAAGTACAGTGCTTTTCTTTCTTGGTTTCATTATTATGGCAGTGTGGTACTACTAGCCTGTGAGTCTCAAAGTTATGGCCAACTAAAGGTTGATTTAACCCTGAATGATATCTTTTTCTGATTGTTCTTCAGATCAGATCATAATGTCTGTATACCACTTTGCCACTGGGAGTGAATACCTGCTCTACCTACTGCACCATGGTGCCACCATATATGCTTATTACTATGTCATGGTAAGGACATTTAGAAATACATAATGGTAAAAATGTAATACATTTTCAGAAATTTCATTTTTCTCAGTAGCAATACAAAGGATCACACGATAAAAACGTTATAGAATGATTTATACAGGATATATTATGCTCTCGATATTCTGTATTGGCACTCAACTTCATCTCGTTCCAATACGAAATTTCTCGAGCAAAATATATCCTGTATTGCACTTCAAATCATTCAACAAATTGCTTGAATCCTTTATAATAAATATCTGTCATAATTGCTGTGAATTGCCTGAATCTTGTACAATTCATATACCATAGTAGAGTGTATCTTCAATCGATTATCGGTTCATATTTATACAGTTCAGTCTAATCCTGCATAAAAAATGTATTTTTAACCAAAACAAAATGTTTTATTTTCAGACTTATTCTACATTTCCCTACTTTGCCAATTTTCGTCTGTTGTGTGAATTTTCGACTCCATTTGTAAACCAAAGGTTAGTCTAAATCTTCGAATATAAATACTTAAGTCAAATACTCATCTCTCACTTATGTGTATTTTGTTTTAATGAATAAAATATGGCTGAATCAAAAGATGTATATGCTATGCAACCAATAGATGTGTATTTCTCATGTGCTAAAATAATGCATTACCTTTTAGATGGTTCATGGATGCACTTGGTTGTAAACGATCATCACCTGCATTTATAGCAAATGGTCTGGGGTTGACAGTAGCCTTCTTCCTCGTCCGCATTGCTAGCATCCCATTCTATTGGCACAAAGTTTATACTGTATATGGGACAGACTATTACTGGAGTGTAGGGAATATACATTATGTCATGGTGACGTCATGCGTAACACTTGACATACTTAACGTATTCTGGTTCTCAAAATTACTTAAAGGAGCACGGAAAGTTTTAATGAATAAAAATCAGAATACAATACAGGCAAAAATGAATTAGATGGCCAGCAGGAAGAAAAACTTCCTGTAAATAAACCATTTCATCTTGTATGTACACATTCAATGCAATATTTTATAAGATAGCAAGGAATGAGAGAGAGAATATTAAGGTATCGTTTGTATTGTCAGAAGTGAAGTCGTAGCCATATATGGGATACTTTGTGTTTTGATGAAAGTCTCTCCTTATCTTTCAAGACACATATTCTATTTCAGATGTTGATTTTCTTGAGATATATCAAAAATGTATTTTCACACAAAATGAACTACTGTAAACAGAATGTATCACTTTGTGCAAGTTGTATTATTTATGAATATCAGATTGATAAACAATATGAAGTTATGTTTTAGTCATAATTACCTTACATACATATGATTTTTGTTGTCGAATTACACAAAAACTTTACTACATGTATTACTTGTATTGGTATGTTATAAGCCTGGTCATATGGTTGACTATAGAATATAATAGATTTAGATCATCTCATTGAATACTAGGGGATCTGGACAAGAACACATTTTTTATTTTCCTTCCTGTGTAGGAAAATCTTTAGGCCCCTCCCAGATCCAACAGTGTATTTTGAATCATGATTCTTATGGTCATACTATCTAGAGAATTTATACACCATCCAGATTCATATTTCTATTTTTGAGAAAACTGATTTCAGGTATTTGCTAACTGAATACCTTACAAGTGAGAACAAAAGCCAAATGTTGTTGCAGCAAGTATAGTATTATATTGTTATTAATGTATTATATCATAGTATATTATATAAAATGTAATATAATTGCATTCACTGTAGAGGTTCATTTGGTAGCTTATCAAGTTTAATTTGATACAATTTCAACTACACTACCTGAAATAACCTATAAATGATCTATTGATAATTCAACTAGCTTTCTGGAAACATAATAGATGGAATGTAAGTTGCTATATTTTGAAAAACGTAGTCAATGTTATTATGTCACAACGTGGCGACGTATTGTTATACTCCCAACCTTTTTGTGGATTGTGTTCAGCAGTCGATGGGCATCTGTAACAAATGGCTGGTGGTGACATTTTGCATATAATTGATGCCTTGTTAATAGTTGTTATTGTTACCTTGACCTGTTATTTGCCTCAGTGGTTTTCCTTGTACATGTACACTTATTTTTTGAAATGAGGCATATAACACACAGTGAGCTCTGGCTACACTATTATTACACTGAAAGTGTGGTAACTCTTTTGACTTCAGTTTGTACCTTGGTTTTTATTTGGTCATATTCATTGATTTGGTATATACTTCATCTTAGCTGTTGGTCTCAGTTGATTCTTACTACTCTTTCCTTATTTTGATACTTGAATCATGGCAAAAGTCACATGCAAATCGTGAAATTCAGAATAAAGCATAGAATTTCTTGCTATTTTTGGCAATATCGCAGCATTATGACATAATGTTATATTTCATTATAGATCAATCGCTAATAACTTTTCTGACAAGTTTCAAAAATATGAAAGTTGAAAACCATGATACATCACATTAATGAAAAAAATTATTGTCTCTAAGTTACCAGCCTTGTAGTTTAGTATATAATAGATAGATGGTGCTGGCTGTGATATAATGGTCCTTGGAAGGAAGTTACCTTGAAGATCATTCATAGATCAAATTCATTCATCAAATGATCAAACACATAATAAACTTAATATGGACAGAGTGTGTTTTCATTCTCAAGCTAGGCCAACATTTGAAGAGTTAAGATAGAATGAAAGTTGAATTAAGATCACTGTATTTTTTTACAAATGCCAAAAAATGTAACATATCATCTATATTTTGGATTCCTAATGTTGTAGTGTTGAGTGTAGCATCAGTCTAATGTTTAAATACCTATTTAAACTTCCTGTAAAAGGTAGAAAATTATATTTTTCTCCAATTTTTTTGTGTCAACAATTTTAGCTAATGACTACTAATATTATGAACATGTTGTACAAATCCAATAATCTGAAACTCTCCTGTGTATGTTCATATTATGTAAAAGATGATGATTGGTTGATCATATTTCACACAAATGTTAACATACCTGTATGATTTTAAAGATTTTTTTCAAGTTTACTAAACTTGTTGGATCCGAAATTTTAGTAAAATATTTGCATATAAATGACAAATAATGTTGTCCTTGTAAATAAGTGCATTTGCACCAAATGACCACCTTAGTAAGTTAATTCTAGCTTGATCTCAAGGACTCTTAAGGAACCTTATCATACAGTTATAGGTCTATATGTTGCACTGACAAAACATAAATCAAATGATTCATACAATAGCCTACCACCAATGTTGTTTTGCTTTGGGGAATTATGTTGCTGGAGTATTCTCTTGATCTGCCATTTTGCTCTCAAGCAATGATTGATCAATGAACCAATGAAAATCTGCTCCACTTAATGTCCTACATTTTTGGAGATATTTTGAATGTGACTATGTGTTTTCTAATTCAACATTGGTCCATCAGAACATCTAATTTGTTATCGGTCTAGACACTTTTAATTTGCTCTTCATGGATGGTGCTTCCAGAGACAATAAACTTCATTCAGAATACAGATGTATCATTAATTTGCAAAAATCCTCCAAGATATTAATTGTTATGAAAACTAGTACACATAGTAGAAGTGATGCATTATAGTTGTTTCAAAATTACTAGGTGCTGTGACATTTGAAAAGCATGTGGGGATATTTAATAAACCTATTGTTAAACCATATGCAAATTCGCAATAATGTTGTGTAATAATGTTACTTATATACACTGTTGATCATATTTATGGAATACTTAAGTTGCAACATGGCTGTCTTGTAGACAGTTTGTAAAAAAACTCAGGAAAATTCAAGTCACACATTCAGACATTGCACATATGTAACTCAGAATACATGACTGGTCATGAGATTTTCTGATCTAGCAATTAAACTGAACATTAGGTGTTCTCATTATTAATCAAACTTGATATTATTTATTCCAAAAATAAGTCCAACAGTGTACCTGTTTTTCTATACAGTAGACCTGCATAGATACAATAGATGTTAGTTACTATTTCCAATGTTTATCTTGTATTGTTCATATTCACACTGACTCATGTAATAATTAAAGTCATTACTGATGCGCACATATGGCTGAATATAATGTATTTTTATCATTTAGTATAAATGTTGCAATAAAAAACAAACAAATACCAAAATATTTATTTCTTGTTTGATTTATTTTTACATTTTGTTTACTACATTCATAAAATAATGTACAAATGTTTTTTATATATACAATATGTACAATACTACAATTGGATGAAAATGATGACCTTGAACTATTTGTACTTGACCTGTGTCAGGTTACCCAAGTGGAGTATACAAACCACCCTGTCTGCCTGTAGCTGCATTGGTTTCAGGAATCCCAAATAACAGTGCTATATTTGAGTGACCATAATAATTGTCCCTGGTTACAATGGACTATTTTCCATTTATGCTTCTATTAACAATGAGAGATGTAAAAGTTCTCAATATAGATTAAACCCATCGGCTGTATCCAAGTAAACCTACTCGTAAGTCTATAGATAATTCAAAGGTAAATTGAGAATAGAGTCAATGCAACATAAAATTCCTGAAACAGTCACATTGGTTTCTGGCATATCACTGGAGCCACAGCAAGGTATGGTTCATTTGAGCATCATAGAGACAGACCCTGGATGCATTGTATATTGATATATAGGGTAGAGATTTCCCCTCTAGAGGTATAAACTAGCAGCAAACACAATGTCCCTCTTGATCATCCTAATACCTGCAATATAAATGTGAGGAACATAAGATTCAACCAGAATGTATAATCTGTGTGATTACAAGCTTACCTATCATATAGATGGTATATGGTAGAACTCCTCACGCAAGGCTGTGGCCTTAAATGTGGCCCCCATTTCACATAGGCAGTCTTATAAATGGCACAAAATACACTAGTCTTTGAGAAAGAATGGCTACCAGATGGATGGAAAGAGATATATGGATGAACCAGAACAACGGCAACGCCAAAGCGTAGCAAATCCCATCGAACAGCCATGGATGGCATTTTTACAAACAAAGTATATAGCAAAAATGGCAGGCATTTTTCAAAATGGCCGCCTTCTACCAAAAGTGTCATTAGACCATTTGCCATACTTATAGTATTCACATACCAAATATGAACAAAATCGCTCCACTACTTTTCGAGTTATAGTAAAATACGTTAAAATGGCGGCCATTTTGAAAAATGGCCGCCTTCAACCAAAAGTGTCATTAGACAGTGTGCCATGCTTACAGTATTCACATACCAAATATGAGCAAAATCGCTTCACTACTTTTCGAATTATTATAAAATACGTTAAAATGGCGGCCATTTTTCAAAATGGCCACCATCTACTAAAAGTGTCATAGGATAGTGTGTCATGCTTTTAGTATTCACATACCAAATATGAACAAAATCGCTCCACTACTTTTCCAGTTATTGTAAAATACGTTAAAATGGTGGCCATTTTGAAAAATGGCCGCCTACTACCAAAAGTGTCATTAGACAGTGTGCCATGCTTATAGTATTCACATACCAAATATGAACAAAATCGCTTCACTACTTTTCGAGTTATAGAAAAATAGGTTAAAATGGCGGCCATTTTTTAAAATGGCCATCTTCTACCAAAAGTGTCTTTAGACAGTGTGCAATGTTTATAGTATTCACATACCAAATATGAACAAAATCGCTCCACTACTTTTTGAGTTACAGCAAAAATCGTAAAATAACGAGTAAAGGCCACCATTTTTCAAGATGGCTGCCATGTGTTTCTTTAATATCTATATTTCTAGCTTTATTAATGTACTATATAATTTAATACATCTAAACATATTGCTATTACAGTTTTACATAAATTACTGTAAATTCGGCACTAAAATGGCCGCCATTTTGAAATGAGCGGCCATTTTGAAAATCGGCTTTCGAGCAGAACTTCTACCCCCATAAGGTATATGTGTACAAAATATGATCAAAATCGGGCCAACGGTATTTGAGTTATTGCCTGGACGGACGGACTTACTGACGTATGTACAGACAGACGGACGGACGGACGGACGGAGGCGTTCCCTATAACCCTCCGAACTTCGTTCGATGGGATTACTAACTTAACATCTAACATGGGGCATTACATACTGACAAATTTTGCTCCACTCTGCCAAAATTTTATATGTACGCTATATATGAACCAATCTTTTGTGGGATTTTCAAGAACAGATTTACAAAAATGTCATACCTTCAGAGAATTTGTTTTCAAGGTCTGTATTACCGATTGCTTTAGCGGCTTGGCACATCTGTCGTAGAGTCTCTTCCAACCTTCGCATACATCTAATAATGCTACCTGAAATTTGAACACACAACTTTAAACTCAGCAACCACTCTATCATTGAAGCAATTGAAGCTCCTTACTGAATAATATTGTACTCACAGAGCACATATTCTTGCTATGTACTTCATTTATACTTAAATCTTAGAATATTCTGTTCTGAAACCAATTTTGCAATGTTTTATCAAAAAAATTCACCCCCAAATAAACTAGCAAATGTTTTTTTAAATGATCGAAATTCTGCTAGATTTGAAGTCACAAACAATTTATGGTTCAGCATGAAGCTATTTTTTTACTCAATGTACCACACATTTATAGTAAACATTAAAAATTATGTCCCTGACCTTCAAAGACATCAGTCATCTTGCAGATCTGTAGGAAGGAGCAGCCATTACTCCAGGCATGTACAACATCCATCATGTGAGGTTTAAACTGTTCAACATATTCCTCCTCATTCAGCTCTAACTTTGCTTCCACACTCACTTTTGCAATCCTGGTGGCAGTTTCCTACAGAGAACATCAGTTAACTTAGTACATGTATGTAATACTTAGAGGTTATTTAATGGGAGGTTTTTGATACAGGGTATATCTGAGGGAAATACAATATATCTACCCGAGGGGCCGTATTGTATTCTCATATTGCTCAACAATAGCATCAAGACAGTAAATCAACTTGATTATTAATATGGCTTCAGTTAACGGACACTTGAAGTCAAATACTTTGCTGGTTCTACACGTATTAAATATATACAAACGAATCATACCTGCATTATCCGGAGTGGCTGTGAGAGCTCTTCTGTAAGTTTAGGCATTTCTGATGCTTTCTCTTGGAATACAAAACAACTCATGAGACTGTTGGCTTGCTGGGGAGTTAGCTCATTAAATACACCATTGAAGATCAGTTCAGTCAGTAACAGCTCATCACAGCTACAAATATGAATATGCATATATTCAATACAGCTTAATTCACCAAATTGGCAAAAATGTTGTACATACAACCTGTTTTTATCAAAATTTGCATTATCATACATACACTTACATACATTTGTATAAGTATAATGGATTCACATAAAACAAGTAAAAAATGTTTAAATAAGATGTAATAAGATCTAAAATATGTCTACAACATGCAGATCTCTGAAATGTAAATGTGTTTTATTAAAATGTACATAGTGTAGTATTGTAGTGAACATACCTGCTAATTTCACATGCTACTCTGCCCTTCAGTTCTATAACATCCGAGATATCAACATATCCCAGCCGTCTTAAGACACGCTTCATACACTTTAGTTCATCCATCTGTAGCAGAGATTTCTTTTTCTTAAGCTCACTCTTTACTGCCTTTATCTCGTTTGCTAACTACAATGTACAGAAAAATACACTACTTTTACATTTGCATCAATTAAATTGACTATATCTGAAGGATACAAATAAATTGTGACATTTTTCTTCAGTTCAGGAATGCCTAAAGCCTTATTCTCTACCATTTCCTAAATTATTTACAGTGCCATAAATAATATACATGTGAAAGTTTACATTTTACATGGTATGAGGTTTTGAGGGTAAATTGGTCACTCACCTGCATCTTTTTATCATAAGCATTGTAAAGTTCCTCTAAATTGGCATTTTTGTGCATGGGATGAGAGTACATCCTGTGTTCAAATGCTTCAATTTTCTACAATACAAATGTACATTTGAATTATACAAGTAAATACAAAATAAATATATATCATGAGCATCTTGCATCTTAATACACAAAAAGTGGCGCTATTTTATCATTGAAAAGTTCTCGAAACATGAGTAAGAAATATCAAATGTTGCCTTATAAAACACATATAAATATTTGGTCTTTTTTGCATCTTGTAATTTATTCATTATGAATTTTATTTTATGAATTGACAACATAGTGAAATGTATGCAGATTACATCATACCTTTACAACTTCTTTCAGGGCTTTGTCCTTAATCCCCATATCTTCTATTGGATCTAACAGCGGTAAGCCATTGGGGAATCTTTTACAAACCTCCTGGAAAAATTAGAATAAGAGATATAATACAGACATAAATTTATCAGGTTTAAGTGAATCACCATATTGTAAAGAGTCCTAAAAATGTTAGATGCGCCAATATGCATAAAAACATTTTTTACAGGAGTTTATACTAAGGTTCACTATCTTCAAATCATCACCTTGCCAGTTGTTATTGACATTCGAAGTCAAAAAATGCACCACCCATAATTTCACTTGCGCAACTTTAAATCGTACATTCATGTACATAATTGTTAGTGGTTTTATCTTTTTAAGAGTGGATACTGGTTTTATGCTGGGAAAGGATATGATATGGGAACAGGGGAAAACACAAGCTCTACTAGCAAAATATACCTGTATGGATTTGTAGACACTTTGCCTATTATCTGGGGGCCTAAGGTCCTGTGGCACATACAGCCTTACTGCACTAATTGAAGTTATTAGGTGTGTCATTACTGGTATAACCTAGAATTATAAAATTGCAGTCAGTCTTAAAGTCGAGTTGTAGTGAAAAACACTGTAATAATACACGCATATAAAGTGGCATGTACATTTTCTACATGCGATTATTGCATCATATCTAGTACATGCAATGTTATATGAAGCAATGGTTCACTATCTCTCAATGAAAAACAAATCTAAAATGAACATTTTTATCTTAGGAAATATCATGCCAAAAAATGCCTCGACTGAAAAAACATATTGGCACTATTGTGAAATTAATGACTGGTCAATTAGGTTTGATCATATAAACATGATCAAATAGCTGAACATTTTGTAATAACTTTTATCTTATAATATTATACTTGTAACTCTCTTATGTTTAAGAGGTAAATAAAGACACAATACAATACAATACAATCACAAAATTGCATCAACTGTAGTATAAATAGTAAAAAATTAGCTCTCTGTTTACATCTTTAATCAATGACAAACCCCAAATCTTATTTCAGTAAAAAACATGTGGTTCATTTAAAGAAAGTCGAAATAAACCATGCCTACCTGCATTTCTCCCTTCTCCCCTTTAGCACATGGTTTGATGTCTGAACTGACTCCTGAGTTTGCTACTTCCTTATCTAAGTATGCCAGGACCTCCGCCACATAAACTGGTTCAGACGCCTGAGGATTCTATAGAACAAAACATAGATTTCTTAGCAATTTAATAGCATTTGCAATAAAGATTATTTTTCCCAGTTTCCCCCATTAGTGCTACATGTGTGAATTTTAATTTATTATCTGATCCACTGCCTTTTCATTTATATTATGAACTATATGCAAGGGACTCACTTTGCTTTGATTTGCTTTCTTTTGGAAATTCACCACGACACACCAGCCAAATTCCATTTCTCCATTGACTACCTGGACCAGTCTGCCAGGCTGTAGAAATGGTAGCAGGTACTGGGGTTTATGGATGAATTCTTGTAGTTCCTTGGCAAGATGGGTGAGCTGTTGCCTTATACGATAGTATGCCTTAACCTGGTCCTCGTTGGCCACTGTAGTCTTACTGTAATCCTCTTCTAGTTTCTTAGCCTCTAAAATTCAATATTTATACAATTTGTAGAGGATTTCAGAGGGTTTTATTTTTAGTGTATTGTACAGTATTTAAAAATGTCATATATACTGTAAATGGCTTAAATGATGCTGTACTGCTCCCCAAATTCCCTGTTTTTCACAGAATGTGAACTTATCATGCGAATAATGTTCTATTGATTTAATAATCCCGATACAACATTGGTCTTTCTCAAATAGTGTGTGGATATTCCTTATATGGCAAGTTTGACATGCAAGTCAGTGGTTTCAGTAACTTTGTGTACAAGGGGCAGATGAAAAATACAAGAGGCGGCATTCAAAATAACCAATTTTACGCTCCCGACAATGCAAATTCTTGTTATTTTAGAGTCCATGGACTGAAAGAAAGATGTCCAAGGTTTGTCAAAGTCATTTCCACGTGTGACGTGGCAAGACATGGGCTCCACAAAATAACACCTGGAACTGTGGAATGACTAGGGCAACTTATAGAGAATGTCATTTACCTTTTATAAGATAACTCACCCTTACACAGGTTGCATTTCACAAATCCAAATGCACCTGTTGAATTGAACACTTTTGATATAAATCAAAATCTAGAATTGTCATTATTAAAATGAGAGTGATGTATTAATATATGATTCACTTGTGATTATGTGTATATCAGATTCATTTTAGTTTTTACCACCTCCAGACATTGCCAGAAATGGTTACATACAGGGTGTTCCAAAAGTAACAGGACTGGTGCTGGTATTTTGTTAAATATGCACCATTTGTCTTCAAAATTTTACATAATGTACATGTACCTTCATGTTTTTTAACTAAAATTGCCGAATTACATAATTTTTGTCGAAACTGATTTAGAAATCGGCCGATGACTACTCATCGGCCGGCGCCCGGGGCATATGTGTCCTAGGAATTAGAGAGAGACCGAGGTGGGAGATATCCCCCTCCCCTCTACACCAAACTTGTTCTCACTACGTTTTCGAAAATTGGCTGAAAGGCCTCCTCACACATTATTAAGGAAAACATATCTACACATTTTGCGCATTTAACCATTTGATAAAATATTGTGGATCTTATCTTAATTTGTTAATGTGAATTCGCACCTTCATTTGCATGGAAGACTTTGATAAAATCCTTTTTTGATGATTTTTGTTAGAAAGCTGATGTTTGGCTAAGCTTCGAAATTCCAAATTGAACAGTCTACTAAGAATACCATGTTGTAAATATTGTTTTCTTTATAATATGTCGAGCTAGGACTGCTCAAACAAATTCGCTTTTTGTAGCTACATGTACAAGTATTTAATTTCAATAGATGATAAACTTCTCAATATAAGAAATTACCCTCATAAGACATTGTTGCAAGGTGTGTTGCAATGAATGTGGCACCCCGCATTCCCGGGCCCACATTATGTATTCTCGAAGAAAGCCATCATGATAAACCATGACATCTCATTTCTCCTCAGCCCTGTGTTTCAGGTGAAACAGAAAGATGCCATGAGTATCAGAATCGAAGAAAGCATATATTTGCATTGATGGTGTACAGATAGTTATTTTATATAGTGTTTTAGTTGTACATGGAAACCGATTCTAACCAGGAAGGATATTGATCAAGATCCTAAAGTTGCAATTCTCGTTATTGTGTTTCATTGTAAAGACGCACCTATGAAAGTGTGTCTCTGATACAAAGGCGCAGTTCTACATTAATTTAAGATACAAATTTTTTAAACTTGTACGTGAACATGTAGAATTATGGACCTGGTAGATTTTTTCTCCCTTTTGTACTGTTAATACTTGGCCGGTTGAGTATATAAAGGTATGCATGTCCCAGCTTTTGGTAAGTTGGGGGTCAAACCCCCCCCATCACACATACACTTTTTATCATGCTTAAGTAACTTCGCATTGTAATTACAAGGGTGTTATAAACGAGACACCAGGATGATAAAGTAGGTGTACAATATATTTCCGCGTTTGCGCGGAAGAAAATTAGGGTCCAAATCTTGAGAAAGAGTCGGAGGAATGCGAGACAAATTCTGGAAACTCGGGTTCGGGAAAGCGGGGTTCACTGTTCTGTTCTGGTTCCGTTGACACCTGTGCGAAACTACATTCATACTTTATCCGACAGTCGCTTTGATAATGTTTCTTTATCTCGTCTGCTACTCGATAAAGAAGAATTAACAAAGCTCATCAATAATGGATGATCTTGCACAGGTACTCATATAAGAACCTCTATATCTTTTTAACAGCAATATATAACGGACACACTATGTTAAAATTAAATGTTATATCTAATGTGCCAATTCAATGATTTAGCATATCGAAAATATTTTCAACCTAAGTGATCACATCGTGACATCACTTAGGTGGCAATATTTTTCAATGTCAATCTTTTCTAAATATGCTAAACTTAAAAAATGAACCAATGTTGACTGTCTTACAAGGTTAAAGGGATGAATATATTATGTTTTTAATATTTTTTACCATTGGTTTCTATGAGAATTAAAATTTTGAAATGCATCTTTCTCTGAACCACTTTCATGCATGGATGAGTTCATTGCTCGCTCATCTATCAACCAATTTTCTTGATTTTATCGGCAAAAAACAAGTGAGGATGATTGCTATGCATCGGTGTGAATTATCGCTTTAAAAGATAAGTGTGACCTCTTAAAGTTAATAAATTCACGATATTTTTAACAAAAAGTCCTTCAAAAACATTTTTGAAATTAATAAAAAGTTTCACATTTCACGCTTTGATAATATTGGATAAGACAAAAATATAAGCCAAAGTGGTTTAAACTTTATATGGGGCCTTTAACTGATTAATAGTACAATAACGTCATTTCTAAAGGCAATATAGTGAAATATTGGACCGAGGGCCGGTCCAGAATATATTCTAGACCGGTCCATATGGACCACCACTATGACGTCACACATTTCTCAGGTCAATATAGTAAAATGAATGCTTTCTAAACTAGCACTAAAACCCCTAGAACTGGCCCGGCAAGGTGGTAATAATAGTACAATAACGTCATTTCTAAGGGGAATATTTAGAGGTTATGTCACTATCGTGGCATATATGCCCGAGGTCTCAGTGATATATGGCCCGACCTTGGGAGGGACATTGATCTCTGAGAACCGAGGGCATGTATGTGCCACGATAGTGACATAAACGATTTATAACATACCTATGATGATGTAGACTTGTCAGAGAGTACCATGTTCTTATAGAATTGACAAACAAATGGTTTGAAAATGATTGAAATGAGTTTAGAAAAATTGCTCGCGCAGTTTTATCTTCGATTGATTGGTTATGACGTCAGCACCTTGACCAATCAGAAAGTTTGCGGGCGCGGGCTTTTCAAAACTTATATCGGCCCGCTGTCTTGTGTACACTTTGCACTATACATCACCAAAGGTTTGTTATAAAGTGAAATATTGGACCGAGGGCCGAAGGCCAAAGGTCCAATATTTCACTATATTGCTCGTAGAAATGACGTTATAAGTATTATTACCACCGTTAACGACCAGGGCTGAAATAGCAAGAAAATCTTACGCACTGAACGATATCTAATTTCCCGGGGAAAAATTGCCGGTCCAGAATATATTCTAGACCGGTCCATATGGACCACCACTATTGCCGTCACACATTTCTCAGGTCGATATAGTAAATTGAATGCCTTCTAAACTAGCACTAAAACCCCTAGAACTGGCCCGGCAAGGTGGTAATAATACAATTTTACACCCATTTGAAAGACTGTACTGTGACTGGTTGTACAGAGTTATATCAGTCATACATGTAACTGCATGTCCAGTGGAAAATAACCAACTCTGATTATACCAAAGGTTGAATTATCATGCACATGATAGTGGTTAGATAGTGATCTAAAATGCATAGCCCAAACGGGTACAAAATTGGACGGTGTTTACTACTTTACGATTATAGTGAGTTCCATTGCAGTTCGAAACTGAGGTACAAATCATAGACAAGGAAGTGCAAAACAAGATCGCTGAATAAAATAGAGGATAGTCTATAGAAGACTTTTATTTTCCGTCAAAACTATATTTGATTTCTAACAAACGGCGAATTATCGAAAACAAACGGCGATTTCGGACACTCGCCCCCTGCTATTGAAAGTCCAGCAAGTGACGGGTGACTGACATGGACATGATTTCATCATTCTTCTTTAAGACACTGACATCATGTCTTACTATCATGCGACATCAGTGTTTTGCTGACTTGTGTATTTTACCAGCGAATTATCATCTTGTAAGTTAATGTAAGTACATTAAATGCTTATATCTGTAATAAATATTGTCTATACGAGCACTTACTGTCCACAAGGCCGGGTATTGCACCATAATTCTGGAACTGATAGAAGGATCTCTCCAACATGTATTCTGGATTTATCTCCTCCACTCTTAGTAGGTTCAGCACCATGTTGTATGTCAAGTGGAATGCACTGTTCAAAGAATCTGGTTGGCCCTAAATAAAGATTCACAGATTATAAGGGGAAGAGAGATAAAATCTCAGTATTTCACGACCATGATATAAACGTATATAGTGCTATGTCAGTGTATACAAGCATCCGGTAGCACTGAAGTAGCATGATAATAAGGTAACAACTTGTTACTCCAACATATATGATATATATGTACATGTACACTCATTTATAAAGAATGCAAAAACTCAAATGGAGCCATTCATGTATTTTTGGGTAAAATAAATAATTCACATCCTTAACATTATTCTCAGATTCAAAAGACATCGATACTTCACAAAGCTTTATCTAAGCCAAGCTTCATTTACAAAAGCTTTTAAACTAAAGACAGTCCTTTAATCTAGCCACATCAGATACAGTCAGAAAATCAATTACAATACATTTTCTGCCTTCAAGTTGTTCAATCCTTATTTCACATTCTAACTCCCACAAATAACCAGAAAACATGACTAGGAAATAAATTCACCTTTAAGCAGAGTTTTGTCCATTTTTTGTACTGACCTCTATGTTACTAAAATAGCAAAAATTGAGCCATATTATTTCGGATTTCTCACTCAAATTGAATGTGCAATATTTGTAATGTTTTGAAGAAGATGTATTTTTTGAACTGGGTAAATGTGGTTGAATTTGAATAGAATGTCCCATATGATAGTCAGGGGGCATTGTGCCTAGCAGATGGGGATATAGGGGAGCTCCTTACCTTCACTATAGTCTTCCCCACCCCAGGACTCATCTTTTCATCCACCATGAGTATAACAATCCCCCTGTCATCCAGACCTCTACGTCCTGCACGGCCACTCATCTGGATGTATTCACCTGAAGACACCTACAATACACATATACAATACATCTACAATACAGGAACAATGCACATACAATATTTACAATACAGAAACAATAAACATACACATACAATATATTAAAATGCACAATCACCAAGGTCAAGTTTGACATTCAACAGTTTTACAACAATTAGACTGATTTAATGAGATAACAGCAATGCCAAGGCGTAGCAAATCTCAAAACAGCCATGGCTGCCATTTTTGAAAATAGTTGCCTATTAGCCAAATTGTGACAAGTCACTTTTCAAATCATAGCAGAAAAATACTTAAAATAACACACATAAATATTGAGGCCATCTTTCAAAATGGCCGTTCAGTGGCCAAATTGTCTTAAGAAAGTGTAATATGCTACTAAGTAGACAGATGGACAGAGGGGCTTCACTATATCCCTACGATGGACAGAGTGGCTTCACTATATCCCTACCAATCCGATAATTGGCAGGGATAATCAATTATTATCAAATATTCAAATTTTGTGGACCTTTTGCACTCCGACCTTGTTATCTGACCTAGATTATTGCAAAAACATTGTAAAAGAAATGTAAGAATCAATATGTTGTTTTAGGTTGCTCCCTTATATTATTAACATTTCCCTTCATAAGAGAAAGATTCTTAAGATTGCATTGAAATAAAAATACACAAAGCAAATGTTTGCACATTTCGATTACAACCATTCTCCAAACATTAACTACTGCACTTCTGTGCTTTGAGATCATTGGCCACCAATGTTTATCATCAAAAAGATCAAAGTACAAAATATATATTTCTTTGCGCTTTAGATCAACTTGCACAAGGTTGTAGATTTAATGCAAATAAAATCAACAGGTATTAACTTCACATGTATGATGGATATCACAACCTGATACCTAGTGTATTTCTAGACTAAAACCACACTAAATATTAAAGACTAAGGCATAGACGAGATTGAAAAAGTAACTACAGTAAGTGAGTTGTTTGCTAACTTTGTTGTAGATGTATGCACATAGATTTGTAGATGTCTACGTGCAATGACACGCAATGCTTGGTGATAACAAGTAGAGTATGAGTGTCACGTACAAACTGGGGACTTCTCAAAAGTACAATATTGAACAAAAAGCTTGAATCAAATTTAAGCACGTACATAAAATCTAGGTCCTTAACAAACAGTTTTTAAAGATATAATATAAGCACAATATAAGCAGATGGAAAGTATTTGAATAGCACTATAGTTGAATGATGCAAAGATGAAATGATTTCTTAAGCTTTTTCAAAATTTAACATGCATCTCAATTGACCAAAAATGGTTGTAATAAAACTGTATTGTGATTTAAAGTGTCTGCCATTTCTATTTCAGACGTATGGCACAGAGTTTTCACTAGCTGAACTAGTTGATGTGAAAGCTCTCTTAAAATTTGCATTTTTCACTTAGTAGGGTTTTGTTATAAACTTGACCCCAAGAGTAGATAGTTTAGTCACGTTAGTCAGTTTTTAAATTAAAGTTCGAAAATTATCACAAGTCACATTTAAATTTTATTAGTTATCGTCTGTTATGTTTAATTTTTGTTCAGTATAAATACTTGACAGAATAAGACATGCCATTTCACCTTGTCACATTAGCATGGTTTGAATGGTTTCCTGGTGTAGCTGAGGGCCACATACTTTTCAATAGGTTCAAAATGGGCCAATTCTATTATACACCCTCTAAATATCATTATTAATATAAAGCATCTACGAAGTATTACTTTTAGCCATTTGCAATTTGAATTATGAAACTAGTGTGGTTACACCTATGTTCAACATGAACACACAACATTGTTTCGACACCAATCTGGCTCACATATGACGAAAGTCTAAGGAATTTCTTTTTCAAGTTTAGCGATGCATGGATGCATGAGCAGGATTTATAATTTAGCCCACACTTTGAGGGGAGACCAATTTATGGACTACTAAAATTTGATTTGTTGGTACTGATTCTTTACAGGAAAACCAATATTCATCAGTTGGATTTCTGACATCTTGGCAAACTATAGCATTTAAAAATATTTCAAATTTAATTCTTTTTATGTTTTTTAGAGACAAGATGCTTTATGAGTTACTTGTAGCCAGTACAGTGGTGTGTTTAACATATACCATATACAAGTACATGGTCAGAAAATCCATAGACCTCCCAGGTCCTAGAGGAATACCATTCATTGGAAATATCCATAGCTTCATTTGGGATGGAGGCCCAGTTTGGCAAGTTCAAAAATGGGCAAAAGAATATGGCGATGCTTTCAAAATAAGCATTCTTGGTGCAGAAATTGTTGTACTGAGTGATTATGATAGTATTTATGAGGCATTGGTGGTAAGATCGAATGATTTCGCTGGAAGAGCCTTCGAAAAATCATATGTAGTTCACAAATGGTTTTCTCATAATGTATCCGCTCAAGATTTTATACCAAGGTTTCAAACGTACAAGAAACTAGGATTACGTGGACTCAAACAGCACGGGGATGGAATCGGTAGAATTGTGAACCTCTCAAATGAAAACATAAGCCAGACAGTAAAGGAGTTCAAAGAAGAAAATGGACAACCTTTCCAACCTCACGACAAACTTCAAAATCTCCTTTGTCGGATCATTATATGTATGGTAGGTACAATTACATGCTTCTACGTACATGTATATGTTATACAAAGAGTGAAAATGTGATAAAATAATATCACTGATGGGATATCATGTTTTAATAAAATGACATGTTCAAGAGACTACAAGCTAAGGGAAAATGTCAATGGACAGAATATTCCAAAGGGTGAAATGGTGTTTCACTTTTCCCGAAAATCTGGAAGTATCTTTTTGACTCATTACTTGGTTACATGTCTTTCACTCTTTTTCCTACAAGCAGGGATTTAGGACTTTCCCAAGAACTTTTCCATATCATGTGATAGTAAAAAGTTTATGAGCACCAAGAATATATATGGAATATGTACATTAATTACATGTATAATGATTGGTGTATATAATTATTACAAATTTTCCAAAACTTCTTTCAATTTTTTAAGCAGGATATTCTTTTAGAAGGATGCAGACTTGAAATATAAGGAATAAGCGAATGAAAACTTTAAGAAATATACATGTACTAATTGTAAATACAGTAAAACATAAATTAGAACAATTTGTGTATTAATGAATGAAAAACTCTTTAAGCTGCTTGGTGAAAATACGCAGTATAAAGAAAATGATGCAGAGTTCGCAAGAAGATGGTTAAATGACATGGAGGCAATGTTAACTGGGCCGTTTTTCTATCTGTTAGAGATGTTCCCATGGACACGCTACTTTGGCAACCCTATTTATCTACAAATGACTGAACTGATGGAATGCCGTGATAAGCACTTCAAAGAATGGATCGAAAGATTCAAATCTTATAAACAGGTAAAATATGTAATTACAAAAAATATGAACAATATGTTTTGAGATTTTGATAAAAGTCTTTCTTTTCACTAATTTCCCACAACAAATGTCTTCTCAGATTCATGAATATTAAAAGGTGTTTGGTCAAATGGTCAACATTTCAACTTGCAGAAAGACTGGTATATAAGAAAATGTACATCCTTTACATAACAGCATTCCAACATATATAAAAAATGTACATCCTTTACATAACAGCATTCCAATGTATATAATAAAATGTACATCCTTTACATAACAGCATTCCAATGTATATAAGAAAATGTAAATCCTTTATAGAATGGTATTCCAACATATGTTATAGGAAAGTGGTGAGAGGACCCTATTTGATGAGTTACTGGCTGCTAAAGAAGAGGGCACAATTACAGAGGATGGTATTTATGGAATCGTGATGGATACATTCAGTGCAGGTATAATATCATTCTCCAAGCTGTTCAATTCAGCCCATTCTCTCTGCAGGCACAATTTTCATGAGAATCTTCAGATCCATCAAAATAAAGAGATGAATATCAATTGTTATATCATTTGTTATATCATTTCAAATAGTTTTTCACAAATTTTGTTTCATTAACCAATCACTTTGATGTACAGTATTTTGTGTAGTCAAACTGCTGTTGAATGCATAAAGGAAATTTACGATCTGCAGAGATGGATGAGGGTATGACCACATTCAATAAATGCTCAGAGAATTGGTCTTGCAGGATCACAGATTATAAATATTTTAGAATACATGCAATGTGTATACTAATACTACGAACATTTGACTTTAGAATGGAGCATTTTTTTAGTTTTAGAATGAATTTAGGAAACATGCCTAAAACCTAATCAGATGTGGAACAAGTCATATCTGAATTGGTTTGATCTAAATACGATGTGAATTAAATACTAATTATTTATACTGCATATTTTAAATTCAAAACAGGCGGAAAGAGTTACAAATTATACTCAATAGTTTTTTTCAGAAAATATCTAAAACAAAAACAACATGAGTCATGGAAAAAATTATCTCATATCTTAAAAGGACAGGTGGCGGTAAACCCCTCTTTTAGCCCCCCTACAAAACAAGTATATATTGGCATGGAATTGAAGAGGAAGTATGACTCATTACTTAAAATGTGATTTCTGAGAGTTTTGACATTTGACCTTGACACTAGGGTGGTTTAAAGGTCAACTTTGAGAGTTGCTATTTTTGTCAAAATTTTACTGTTTCTAATCCAAGAAATGAAAGCAATTGACTTTATTTTGATTGTGACTGATAATAAGACATGTGAATAGAAATAATTTTTTAAAAATAAATTATCACGGGCAATTACCTGAAAATCCTGAGAATAAATACCGATATAGGCATTTTTAGGGGGACTAAATTTTCTAGTTTCAAAAATGAATGTTGTTGTTGCCTTTTGAGACTCTAACAGTATCCTAAGCATGTTTTAAGAGTTGGGATGTGATTATTATTTTAAATGCCCATGGGCAATTAGGATAAAATGACTGAAATTAAACTTCAAAAAGAATGGATTTTCTTATTTCAATTGCTTCTCCCCAGTTTTTGCCATGTTTGCCATATTCTAAATAGTTATAGGGTCACTTTTACTAAATGCCCATTGGCATTTGGCATTTTATTTGGCATTTGAAATTAGTGTTTCAATGTACACTTACTTTTAAAGTTATTTGCCAACTTGCAGTTCCCATATTTGAAACACAAATAATTCAGAGAAATCCTCTCTCAATATATATCATAAAATATAAGGCAGCACTAAAAGGATTGCCTAAAATAATTTCTACTTATTCCCTATTTAGGCCATTCAAAGATTTTCTTATAATAATGTCAGTAAATTCTATGTTTTCAGAAAAACAAAATGTCCCCATGTACTCTCTACTTGTAATGTATATAAATGACAAAGGGAATTGTGATCTTGGATTATATTGTAGCGAAATGAGTTCCAAGATTGATTAAAAACTACATGTATATAAACTTCATTAACAAGGTCATTTGAACTCGAGAGGTGTGTTACTTGCTTTGGCACAATGTGTTAATGCATTTTCACTCTTAAATAATATATAAAACCCTTCAAATATATGAAGGTTTTGTAGTTTTTAATATAAGGCTCTTCATCAGAATGCCAGCATATAATTAATTTTGGATGGCCTAATCTGTACATGCAGTTATGTAGTGTACATGTATGCCCAGGCTAGCAGCCATATTGAAAACATAAACAAGTCAGGCTTATTTTCATCACAAAAGTTAAGTTTTAGTGGTGAGCCCAAACTCCCACAAAAATGATAATTGCAGAGAAGCTACTTTACAGTCTCTGCATTATACAGTTTCAATATATTTTTTGTGGGAGTGTGGGCTGACAGTTAACTTTTCAATGAAAGGGAATGAGCACCATGCTAACACTTGATAACAAAGTGAACGAAAAATGACAATGTTTTCTAGATTTGCATAAGTAAACTACATACATCGCTAGATTTTGTCAATTTTCTTCTTTGAATACTGTATGCCATATGTTCCATATATTAAATTCTATATAATGATGAGTTTTGATATTATTTTGATGGTAAACATAATGTGTACCCATATTCGGACAGACTTGTGATAGGGGTTCTTACTGCCAATTTTTCAAAGAAACTGAAAACTTATGCCACTTTTTGAAATTGCACATCTCAAGAAGAAAGGTTTATCTACAACTTGCAATCAGTTTTAAAAGTAAATGGAAGAATGAGTTTTTCAGAAAAAGTCTAAGTGGACCTGTTCTTTTATTAGGGGCCTTTAAAGACAAACACAGAGAAGAAGATTAGCAGAGTTACAATTATTAATGAAAATGCTGTTCCAAACCCTTATAATCCATGAATTGATTATTTATCAGGGATTTTCACAACATTTACAACTACATCTGGATTCCTACTTGCAATGATGACCTATCCCGACATCCAAAATAACCTTCACAAGGAAATTGATCATGTGATTGGTAAAGAACAGTTTCCAGAGCTATCAGATCGCGAGAAGATGCCATATATGGAAGCAACGATTCTTGAAACACTGCGTTACATGTCAATGGTCCCAACAAACGTGCCGCATAAAACAACATGTGATACAAATATAGCTGGATGTGACCTCCCAAAGGGAACACAGGTAAATATATTCATATCCTATCATATATATGTCTAATACTACGGCCTAGTTTTGTAAAATTTCATATACTCTACTATAAGTTGACAAGTAGGGGCCAACGTTGCAAAATGATTAGGCAAGCACATTATAATGCTACCTTCGGGCATCCGAAAATGAAGTAAAACTCCATATTGGGTTTTTTCATTTCAATGAATAAAACGTAATAATGTAACAAAAAGCATTGTATTACAGGTTTGGATGAACTTATATGGCATGCACCATGATAAGCGTTACTTCAAACACAACCCTGACTTATTTGATCCAACAAGATTCCTGGACTCTGACGGCCATCTGGTTCCACACGAGGAAAGAAAAGCGTAAGTTGAATTATATCTACATGTCTACTGATCACTGTATGAATTTTAAGTCGATTTGACGATTTCTTTTCAAGTTATCGCCTTGTCACAATGTAGGAAGTGTTTATGAGTCCAATAATTCAAAATCTGAACACTTGTAACAATGTTCACTAATATTTTGCCATGATTACAGATATTGCCTTATGTAGAAAGGTTTAACACTTATTTGTGGCACAATTACATGAAAAAAAAATGATGGCATTTCTGATCACAAAATTTGGATTTTTCATGCAGAAATATTATTTTGCCACATGTGATAGATGAATTTTTATTGCAGGCTACTGCCATTTGGAGCGGGAAGACGTGTCTGTATGGGAGAAGTCCTTGCAAAAACCAGGATGTTTCTCCTCTTTACACAGCTGTTACAAAACTTTCACTTTGAGCAAGCCGACACTGAGAATCCAGTCTACCTTGATATGAGGAAATTTAAAGTTGGGCCAAATATTTTATTGCCGCCAAAATTTAAGATAGTAGCAAAACCTCGTTAAAGATCGATGGCGCAATTTCTAATACTTTAGTAGCAAAGCCTTGTAAAATAAGAGCACTACAGTATATAGACATCATACCGGTGAGCTGATCATACACATAATCCCTTGCTGTAAATATATAAACCACCCAGCCTACTCACAGTATCGTAAGATAGGGTTTATATCCAAATGCTTTAATGGTGCCTAAATTTCAAGCTCACTAAAAGAGGATAATGCCATGATTTATATACTCCATTCGTCTATCTGTTTGTTAGATGCAATAGTAACCACCATTGACAATCTCTGGAATGATTATACCCAGAAAACATTTTAAAAACTGATTAGTATGTGAAAGTATGCTAAAAAAATTATATTTCATAATTTCATAGTTTATCATGTTAATAAAGCCAGAAGAAGTGAGTAGCTCCCATAATCTATCATATTCTTTCGTATTCGGGGATTCCCCTTAGCCATCCTAAATGGTCATACAAGCCTTATATGGATCTATCACATGATATTCAAAATGGCGGACAACGGTCAGTTAGATTCCTATATGGTCATGTAAGCCTTATATGGATCTAGCACATGGGTACCACGTGATCGAATACGAAAGGCTGAACTTTGGGAGATCTGCCCCCCCTGAATAAAGCCAATGTTTGTTTTTATATTGATATACTTACAGATCTAAAATCTTTGCCATCAAACTTCCTGGCACTAGTGAACAGTACAGTCCTGGCAGGCATGTTCAGGCCCATGGCAAATGTCTCTGTGGCAAATAGTGCCTATAAGAGATAATATATATACATATAAACTAGTTCTCACTGAAGAGATCAAGTGAAAATGATGATTAAGACAGAGGCCGCTTCTGGAAAATATTCTTCAATACAAAATGTTCAAAATATGCAAGTTTCTAGTTTGGTGTTCATTCTTTACCTTAATTAGACCCTCTGAAAAGAGTATCTCAATTGTTTCCTTGAGTATTGGCAACAGACCACCATGATGTATGCCTATGCCTTTCTTCAATAGTGGCAGCACATTCTCAACCTGGAATAAAACACCAGACATTGTAATTGCAAAAGAACATGCCTCTGTGGTCAATTCTGGGTATCATCATAATTTAGATTTCAGAAAGTTGTTATTTTAAGATGAACTTGCGATAAAAATTTTGGAATTATATTCAATGATGTGACAAAGCAATCTGAAGAATTTTACCTCATTTGACATAAGCCTGGGCAAACAAAACTTGACAAAATCCTAGGGTAACACATTCTTTTTTCATGAACATTGAATTTACAAGATTAAAGCAATATTCCACAAAGATAATACATTGGAAGAGGAGGGTCTTTTATTATGGGAATGTAAAAATAACACTAATCAATAAGAAAATAACGGGATTAGGTGATATGACATCACAAATAAATGAGAAATGAATGAGAAACATGAAAGTGATACAATAATTCAAATTATATACTACTGTACATTGTATTTTAAGTACCTGTGGCAGTTTCTTGTCTTCATCTGATAGAGCATCTATAGCATTGTTGAACACCTCTTCCACTAAGCTTTTCTCCTCAGCTACAATTTCAATTTTCAATTCATACATTCAAACTTCAACATATTATAAATAGTACAAGTGCAACTACTTACAATTGTTCACTTTTAAGATCATCGTTTAAAATAATAGCAGTTTAATAATAATCTGATTCAATGAATTTTTACACTATACTATAGTATTTTTATTTTCTTAAAATAAAAGAATTCACTTTCAAAACAAAAAGAAAATCAATAATAACCTGTGTTGAACTCTAATTTAGCCATCTGCATAGCATAAGCCTCGCAATCCTTCTTACTAAAGCTGAACACAATAACTGGCGCCAACTGCCGCTCCATGATCAACTTTACGATCTTAAACACATCAGGTTCACCTACGTTGCAGGAAATAAAAATATGAATATAATAGTTATGCTTTGTGTGGGTCTAGTACTGCCTATTGAACTAACTAGATAACTGGAAAGTGATTGTACAGAGCCCTCTATATGTTTTACACTTCTGCTAAGGGTAATATATTGTGAAAAAAATAATCAAGTTATATACAGTAATACAAACAAAATAACAGAATATCATTCTATGTACTGTTGCTTTTACCACCTCATGCTCTTGGGTTAATATATTGATGAATTTTAATTTATCTTTATACAGCATACATGACTATTATAAGAACAACTGTAAAGACTTCTGCATGAAATAAATTGAGAAATTTTACCAGTAAATTTTCTATTAATTACAATACAAACCTATTCCATGACATATGCTTACTCCCCTTATTTGGAGTAATTGGCAAGTCTAAAAAACACCCCTTTATAAAAAAGTGGACTGGCCCAAGTGGCCAATATCGATCCCCAACTCATTATGTATTCATATTTAATACGCTAACAAAATAAATAAATAACCTCCATTTTCCCAAAGGCGGGGAGGCTGGGTGGGCCTCTGGTCATGGAATAGGTTTGTATTGTAATTAATAGAAAATTTACTGGTAAAATTTCTCAATTACATACAATCCAACCTATTCCATGACATATGCTGAATAAAAAGTTAAGGAGGTGGGGACCTCGTTACTAAAAGTACAAAAGAACTATATTACCATCCTAATGAGATGTCACCCAAAGAATAGTACATGTACCATTACCCCCATCTGCTAGTTGGATCCAAGACGGAGGCTGTTACATGTCCAACTGGAGACTGTTATGTCCTATCAGAGTGAGCAGTCTTAGCCATTTAAGGGTAATGACCAACTCCTATGAATAGAGACTGGTTAACCAAGAAAGGGCCGTTTAAACCAAACGAGGTAACCGTTGCAGTTCTTCAAGGGTCCAGGTCACAAGCTAGTTGAGTTGAACCCTTCTGCAAAACAGTCGAGGCCAAGCTTCCCACGTGAATCCATCTGCAGATATAGAGTGAGTGAAGAAACACTTATGTCTAAAAGTTGCAGAGAGTGCCAGCTAGTACCACCGGGCCCAGCTTGTGCATGCCTTTCTCCATTACAGTCACATCTCTGAGGTAGTAACTTGTGAAGGTGTTGTGGGATGCCCATGAACAGGTCTTGAAGAGTGCTGTTAATGAGGCATTGGCTTGTAGAGCTAGTGAGGAAGATATGGCTCTTGTCTCATGTGGTCGTATCTTCCCTTGTAACTTGCTTTCTTCTGAGGCATTCTTGTAGGCATAGTTCAACAGTTGTTTCACCCAACTAGAGAGAGTGTTAGGGTGTACATCAGAACTGCATCCTTTCTTGAAGGGGATGAAAAGTCTATTTCTGGATCCTCTGATAGGAACTGTGGCTTGAAGATAATATCTTAGGGCCCTCACAGGACATAAGAATTTATCTGGCGTTTCATTTCCAACGAAATTAGCTAGAGCCTTGATGGTGACTGGTTGGAATCTGGACTGTCCTTCTGCGCAATTCAATGATTTCGGCAGGAAACCAACAAAAGGGAAAAGTACCGCTTCCAAGTTGTTTCTAGTCCATTGTATACGCCTAATGTCTATGGCATGGATGTCAGAACGTCTTTTCCCTGAAGCTAACAGTAGAAGGAAAAGTGTCTTCCACGATACGTGTTTGAGATCAGCTGTCGACATTGGTTCGAAGGGAGGTTTGGTTAACTCGTGTAGTTCAAACACTAGATCCCACTTAGGCATCAGATCTTTAGGCTGAGCATCTTCTAATTTGAAAGAATGGATCAGATCAGAGATTTCTTGAGTCGACGAGAGTGATGTGCCACTTGATTGTTGAAGGACTTGATTGATGACAGTTCTATAACCTTCAATGGTACTCACTGTTAACTTCTTTACTGAATGAAGATAAAGTAAGAAGTCAGCTATTTCTGGAACAGAGACTGTGCAGGGATCCAGATTCCTCTCAGAACACCAAATAGAGAACTTCTTCCATTTGGCATCATAGACTCTGTTGGTGGAAGGTCTTCTAGCATCTGATGCGATTCTTTTTGACACTTGTGTTGAAAAACCCTTCTGAGTGAGAGATTTCGTGAGAGTTTGCAAGCGTGAAGATGGAAAAGTTCTGGATTTTGATGGAAGATCTGACTTCTTGGCATTTTGAGAAGTTTCTCCCATGGGGGGATTTCCCTTGGATAGTCCACTAGAAGATCCAATAGTTCTGGGAACCACGGCTGATTCTGCCATTTTGGAAGGATTGCTAGAGCTAAACAGTCGTGATCCTTTATCTTTTGTAGAACTAATCCTATCACTGGCGTGGGGGGATAGATGTACAGATGAAGATTTTGCCAGCTTAGGGATAGAGCGTCTGTTGCCCAAGCTGCTTGATCTTGTATTGGTGAGACATACACTGGTAGTTGGTTGTTGTAGCATGTCGCCATCATGTCTAGATTTGGAGTTCCCCATATCTTGAACATCTGTTTGACAACTGCTGGATGTAAGGACCATTCTGTCGCAACTATCTGGTTTCCCCGGCTCAACAGATCTGCTCTTCGATTCAGTCGACCTGGCACATGTCTTGCGCGAAGACGGACTTGATGTAAATCGGCCCATAACCATATCTGTCGAGATAACTCTGTCAGTTTTGCTGACTGTGTTCCCCCTTGTTTGTTGAGGTAGGTTGTCGCAGTTGTGTTGTCTGCACAAATTAACACCATCTTTCCTTGGAGGTGAGTCTGAAAGTGTTGAAGGGCTTTCTGTATGGCTTTTAGTTCCAGCCAGTTTATGTGGTTGTTGGATTCTGATTGGGACCAGTTTCCACAGCACTCTTTCGATATGTTCCGATCCATGTGAGCACCCCACATCGCTGTTGAAGCATCTGTGAATATTGTCACTTCTGGTGAAAATGGAGCTAAAGTCATCCCTTTCTCCAGATGCTGGCCTTGATTCCACCACAACAGGTCCAATCTTGCAGTACAATCTACTGTTATCATCTTGTCCAATGGATCTCTGAGTTGAGACCAATTCTGAGACAGGCATTGTTGGAGGAACCTCATGTGTAATCTCCCCAGTGGGACTTGTTTCTCTGCTGATGCCAGTAATCCCAGAAGAGACATCCACTGCTTGGCTGTTGCTCGACTTTCTGTGAGGAACCAGTCTGTTAGTTGTAGAATTTTGTCTATTCTGTCCTGGGGGGGATAGGACATCCCTAGATGAAGGTCCCACCGTACACCTACATAGTCGAAGATCTGCAACGGAATCAACTGCGATTTCTTGTGATTGATGATGAAGCCAAGGTTTTCCGTCACCGTCATCACAATCCATAGGTGATCTGAGACTTCCTGTGGCGATGCTCCTCGGATTAACCAATCGTCTAAATACCGGTGGAGTTTTATCCCGAGCTTGTGGAAGAACGAGGCTAGGGGTTCCAGGATCTTGGTGAATATCATCGGTGCTGTTGCCAGACCGAAAGGCAGGACTCGAAATTGCAGAATGTTTCCATTGACAACAAAACGGAGATACTTCCGGAAGTTCTCTTTCATCATTATATGAAGATAAGCATCCCGAAGGTCCAAGGATACTGCCCATTCGCCTTGTTGGAAGGAGGTCATGTACTGCTGTACTGTTTCCATTTTGAATTTGGGAACTATTAAGACTTGATTTAAAGTTCTCAAATTGATGACGGGTCTGTCTTCTCCATTCTTCTTCTTGACCAAGAATAGATTGCTGTAAAACCCTGGGGAATGTCTGTTTAGAACTTCTTCTACAGCATTCTTTTGCAGAAGGTCCTCTACCACTCTGCTGAAACGAGCTGCTTTGCTCGATGTTGAAGACTCGAACTGGTTTGGTTCGGTGCATAACGTCACAGTTGAATTCATCTGTGGGATGTATCCTACCTGGATCATCTTCAGTATAAACGGATCTTCCGTTAACAGCTTCCAATTCGGAAGGAAAAACATCAATCTTCCCCCTACAGGTCCTGGAAATGGAGGAATTGTGAAGATTGGGATCATAGAATGGTCACTTCTTGGAGAATCTGTTGTCTTTGTTGAAGTGCTTACCACCTTTATTGTCGTATTTCTTCTTGGAATCACGAAAATCTGACTTGGGTTTGTCTTGTGATTTGGACCAATCTTTGTTAGAAGATTTCTTCCTGTAGTCAGACCTGGATTGGCGTTGGGACCTGTCTTTGTCTTTACTAGATCTAGAACTGGACTGGGCCAAGGTAACTAGTGCTTGGTTTGTCAGATTTGAGGAGGCTGAGTCAACCAAATCTTTAAGTTGTGACTCTGGATACAAAGTGGTAGATGTATGCTCAACTGGTAGTACCCTCATAGATTCGCGGAAGCGTGTTGGTACTTGTTCTTGAATCAGATCACGTTGAAGTAATGCTGAGTTGGTGAGAGTCTTGAGAATACCTTCAGTAGCAGTAACAGAGGCTGTCGAACCCCTAAGGAGTAAATCGCCCATGGAATCTAACAACTGGGTAACTAGTGGATCCGTGTTGTTGGATAAGTGTGCTGTGAGTTGGGTAACTAACTTTGAAACAGAACCTATATACCACTCTGAGTACACCAAAGGTTGAAGGACAGCCCTCAAGTTCTCTTCGAGACCCTTCCAGTTTTTATTGGAGAGTTGAGTTTTAGTATCAGCATTCTTGAAGAAATCACTGAAGGTTTTATCATTTGGGACTAAGTTTCCAAGTGAATTATTGAGTTTGAGGGGCCGTACGACTGAATCATCTCCCTTGGCTAATCTATAATTTGAAGATTTGATTCTGAAGAGTTTTCCCTTTGTGTTGAAACCGGAAGTGGCAGATGAGATCTGATTATTGATATTCTGCACCAACTGATGGAACACTGGGGGACAAGGTAATGAAGCTTTAGTGACTGAAGATTCATCAACTTTCTGGAGAGCTACCCTAGTCAAAGATTCTTTAGAATTAGTGGAGCTGTTGACTTGGTCAATTTCTAAGGCTGATATGGTTGAATCCCATAAGGAACGAACTAACAAGACCGCTTCTTCTTCAGAGGACTTAGATTTAGACGGCTCGTTGTCATCAGAATCCAAAATACGAGGTTTAGAATCTGAATTTTGAGATTGTGAAATTTTGGAACTAAAATTGTTGATAATGGATCGTGAATTCTGAGTTCCCTGACGTGAAGTCCCGGAAATCCTACTCGGCGAACTATCAGAGGGTCTATTAGTGTGAGAGTAGGAGTGGTGAGACAATCTAGAAGGGCTTCTAAGCTGAGAAACGGGAGATCTTGAACGATTTCGAAAAGTTGACCTACTTACGTCCACGTGGTGTGTGGCGGAATAGTTGTAGTCACGAAATTTGGTGTCATTTCGGTGCGAATCGTTACCTCGTTTTCCCGTCTCTACGGCCTTCTTACTGCTCCGGGGGGACTGCTCTCTCGGAAGCGAGTATTCCAAGTTGTGTAAATAGCTTGAAGACGGGCTTCTACGGTCAGAAGGAGGTCTCGTTGGTGGCCTGTTTCCAAGGGTAGCCATTTTCCTAGTCACCGCCTCTTCCACTAAGGATTGGACATAATCTGTGACGGATGTGGTAGCCAAAGAGACGTCGTTTATCACTTCATTCCCGGTCAAAGTTGACGAGGTCGAGGGACCGTTCAAGTTCAATTCAGAAGTAATTTCACCCTGAATAGAGCCCTGTTCTGCCATACTAGACTAATGTTATGACTATGATACTCTCTATTCAAAAAACAAATTCTGACTTATAAGTAACAGAAATTTGTTGAGTAAATAGATCGTACGATATATATTGACTTGAAAAATTTTCCAATTACTCCTACGTGGCAAGAATTAAATATGAATACATAATGAGTTGGGGATCGATATTGGCCACTTGGGCCAGTCCACTTTTTTATAAAGGGGTGTTTTTTAGACTTGCCAATTACTCCAAATAAGGGGAGTAAGCATATGTCATGGAATAGGTTGGATTGTATGTAATGGGTGGTTTTTCTTACCTTTCCCACCCTTCTGCCCCCCTTTCTTCCCCCACTGTCCAGCCTTGCCAGCATTGCTATCTTTCAGGACAGCCATTGCAGTATTAAAGTTCTCTTCTCGAAACTCACCCTAGAATATAGTGTACACTATGTTTAGGTTTACGAGACAGATTCATGTTGTAAATGTATGTAGCTATCGTAGCTTTCACTGTGATTTCTGTCAATGACAGCATATTATAATGTTAAATCAGGAGGTCTTAAAAATATAAACAGTAAACAAGAACACAAATATGTACAAAATGTCCCCACCTATGGGTGATCCCATCAAATGGTTATCCTGAAAATGAGTAGACAAGACTTAACCAACACAATTTGAGGACGGAAAATCCAAAATGGCCACCTTAAAATTTACCCAGAATGTCAAAAATTTAGTTAGTTCTAGATTTTCAAACTAAGAACCACCCCTGAAAATTTTTAATTGATCAACACAGTCACACAGTTAACCAGAAAACATGTAAACAAGACTTTACAGACAAGATTTTAGGATGGAAAATCCAAAATGGCTGCCTTGACATTTACCCAGAATGTCAAAAAACTAATCTGTTTCTAGATTTTCATACTAAGAATCATCCCTGAAAATATGACATTGATCTACCAAATGGTTCACCTGAAAACGCATAGACAAGACTTTACAGACAAGATTTTAGGACAGAAAATCCAAAATGGCTGCCTTGACATTTACACAGAATGCCAAAAAACTAATCAGATGTAGATTTTCACACTAAGAATCATCCCTGAAAATTTGAAATTGATCTACCAAATGGTTCACCTAAAAACGCATAGACAAGACTTTACAGGCAAGATTTTAAGACGGAAAATCCAAAATGGCTGCCTTGACATTTATCCAGAATGCCAGAAAACTAATCAGATCTAGATTTTCATACTAAAAATCATCCCTGAAAATTTGAAATTGATCTACAGAACAGTTCACCTGGAAATGCGTAGACAAGACTTTACAGACAAGACTTTAGGACGGAAAATCCAAAATGGCTGCCTTGACATTTACCCAGAATGCCAAAAAACTAATCACATCTAGATTTTTATACTATGAATCATCCCTGAAAATTTGAAATTGATCTACCAAACGGTTCACCTGAAAACAAGTAGACAAGACTTTACAGACAAGATTTTAGGACGGAAAATCCAAAATGGCTGCCTTGACATTTACCCAGAATGCCAAAAAACTAGTCACATCTAGATTTTATACTATGAATCATCCCTGAAAATTTGAAATTGATCCACCGAACGGTACACCTGGAAACATGTAGACAAGACTTCACAGACAAGATTTTAGGACGGAAAAATCCAAAATGGCCGACAATAAAAAAGTGATTATGAGTTTTTGCTGATTTCTTTTTACAAAATTATCACATATAACGACTGTTAACAATAACATAAGCTTTTACAACAAAGTACATCCGAAATTATTTATAAAGTTACTAAATAGTTAAAGTATGAAAACTCAAAAACACCATTCAATATGATACAAAGTATTATTGTGCGCTAACTTTTCTTAAGACATTCAAAATGGCTGACATGACTGAGCTAACAGGTCCAAAACCTAATCAGATCTAGAATGAAGTGAGCTGAACAAGATGTTAAAGTTTTAAAAGCAACTGTGAAGCCGTTTTTCTTAAAGTTTGCAGGCAAGGATTTTAGCATTTGACTTCAAAATGGCCGACAGGAAGTAGGTATCGAATTAAATTTTTTTCATCCACATCTGTATGCACTCATAAGTTATCCCTGAAAATTTGAAGGTGATATCTGGAGCAGTTTTGGAGAAAACTCCCGGAGGTACGGACGGACGGACGGATGGACGGACAGACAGACGAACGCGCCTAGGCCGACAATATGGCCCCACACTATGTGGTGGGGACATAATAAAAGTTAATAAGTAATGTTTCTATTCCAAGTTTCTCTCTTAAATTTTTGATAACCCTTTTTACTCAAATATGACTATAACATGACATCTAACAACAAGGCATTAACATACAAAATGGTGGTGACACAAAAATTTAAATACAATCAAATGTAGGGTTATTTAAGCCAGGATGATGCAGAAAATACAGCAGAAAAGCATTCCTGAAGATCAGCGAATGATTTCAACTTGTATATGGTCAGTCTGATTGGATAATATCAAATCCTACTTACATTTTCATCCACCACTAAATGTAAACCATCACCCCCAGATGGAAATATATAATGCTGCAATGGTACTGGTCTGTATTCTGTATATACAACATGGCAGGGCTGGAAATATAAAATACCATAATTGTTCAGTTAACCATCCCAATGAGTATGTCATGTTATCTAACAATATCTGATTGGTGGTTTTCTTAACCCTCGGGTTTTAACCCTTAAGTTCTTACAGATCTGGATGGAGATGGTTATTTTGGACTTGTAAAATGTTCTATTAACAAAAGGGACTATTGAATGTTTTTAAATTCTTAATATACTAAAGCATCATCTGTATATTTCATTTGTAATAATACCAATTCAACTTCAATTCATTTCTGAGACTAAATATAACAGTAACAGCCTGGTGAGTGGCGATGCTTGCTATTTTTGATATCTCTCATATGTTGAAGAAATTATGGGATGGACCTATAAAACTGCACTGCAAACAGCCGCCATCACTAACCTGTTTATGTAGGTAGCATATCCATTCAGCAAACTGCCTGGCATTTGGAATAGTGGCAGATAAGAATACATAATGCACATTATCTGGTAGTAGAATAATCGTCTCCTCCCACACAACTCCTCTTTCTACAGGTTCACAATAAAACAGAATGACGAGTATTATAATCATAAACAAGGTATTAACATACAAAATATCAACACCTGCTCATTGCAACACAAACACCCAATGCCGAACACTGTTACAGATGCCAAACACCAACTGCTGAATGCTGAACGCCACTTGCTGAACACCAGCCACAAAAATGTTCGAAGACTACAATATGTCACCACTTCTGCTGGTGACATAAAAATATAGTGTATCATAAAGGATTAAGCAAATACCAACCAAAAATGGAAGAATTTAATAAGATCAATGCAGCTATTTAACAATTTTATTAATAAAAGTGAAAATACAACTGTCATGAAAAAAAATGAAAAAAAATAAAGGAAATAATTATAAGTTTATGACTGATTATTACAATACTTTCTACAATCTCACCAGGGTGAAGGACAAAGACAGGTGTAGTAGATTAAGATCACCTTTATCTCTCATATAATGTACATCTCACTAGGGTGAAAGACAAAGACAGGTGTAGTAGATTAAGATCACCTTTATCTCTCATATAATGTACATCTCACTGGGGTGAAGGACAAAGACAGGTGAAGATTAAGATTGCCTTTATCTCTCATATAATGTACATCTCACTAGGGTGAAGGACAAAGACAGGTGTAGATTAAGATTACCTTTATCTCTCATATAATGTACATCTCACTAGGGCGAAGGGCAAAGACAGGTGAAGATTAAGATTACCTTTATCTCTCATATAATGTACATCTCACTAGGGTGAAGGACAAAGACAGGTGTAGATTAAGATTACCTTTATCTCTCATATAATGTACATCTCACTAGGGCGAAGGGCAAAGACAGGTGAAGATTAAGATTACCTTTATCTCTCATATAATGTACATCTCACTAGGGTGAAGGACAAAGACAGGTGTAGTGGATTAAGATTACCTTTATCTCTCATATAATGTACATCTCACTAGGGTGAAGGACAAAGACAGGTGAAGATTAAGATTACCTTTATCTCTCATATAATGTACATCTCACTAGGGCGAAGGGCAAAGACAGGTGAAGATTAAGATTACCTTTATCTCTCATATAATGTACATCTCACTAGGGTGAAGGACAAAGACAGGTGTAGATTAAGATTACCTTTATCTCTCATATAATGTACATCTCACTAGGGCGAAGGGCAAAGACAGGTGAAGATTAAGATTACCTTTATCTCTCATATAATGTACATCTCACTAGGGCGAAGGGCAAAGACAGGTGAAGATTAAGATTACCTTTATCTCTCATATAATGTACATCTCACTAGGGTGAAGGACAAAGACAGGTGTAGATTAAGATTACCTTTATCTCTCATATAATGTACATCTCACTAGGGTGAAGGGCAAAGACAGGTGAAGATTAAGATTACCTTTATCTCTCATATAATGTACATCTCACTAGGGCGAAGGGCAAAGACAGGTGAAGATTAAGATTACCTTTATCTCTCATATAATGTACATCTCACTAGGGTGAAGGACAAAGACAGGTGTAGATTAAGATTACCTTTATCTCTCATATAATGTACATCTCACTAGGGTGAAGGACAAAGACAGGTGTAGATTAAGATTACCTTTATCTCTCATATAATGTACATCTCACTAGGGCGAAGGACAAAGACAGGTGAAGATTAAGATTACCTTTATCTCTCATATAATGTACATCTCACTAGGGCGAAGGGCAAAGACAGGTGAAGATTAAGATTACCTTTATCTCTCATATAATGTACATCTCACTAGGGTGAAGGACAAAGACAGGTGTAGATTAAGATTACCTTTATCTCTCATATAATGTACATCTCACTAGGGTGAAGGACAAAGACAGGTGTAGATTAAGATTACCTTTATCTCTCATATAATGTACATCTCACTAAGGTGAAGGACAAAGACAGGTGAAGATTAAGATTACCTTTATCTCTCATATAATGTATCTCATCAAAGACAACCCATGCAACTTCTCTCATCACCTCTGAGCCCCGATACAGCATACTCCTGAGGATCTAAAACATGTAATAACGTACATAAGTCACCCAATTATTATACAATTAATTTCTGCTGCATTAAGCCTTGGAAAATATTTACTATCCCTTTAATAAAATAATTCATAACTAAACAGGGATCTGATTTTTTAACGTTTAGTGTAAAATAGCAATTCTGTGTGGTTACACAGGATCGATGAACACTTGAAATACTCTTTAATCAAGGCATTAACTTGCAAAATGTCACCACCTGCCATTTATTACAGATGCCGCATGTAGCGATTTGAAACAGGAGCTTGTTACTGTCAAGGCTATCACAGGAATTAAGGCTTTAACAATATGTCAGCAACAAGAACCATTTGTTCTGTTTTTGTTATAATCTCTTGATTTAATGGCCATTTTTTTTAATCATTACAGAGCCAAATTAAACTGTTATATATAATTCCTCACCTCTGTTGTCATAATAAGACAACTAGCAGATGGATTGATTGTAACATCACCAGTCATCAGACCTACATCCTGAAATTCCTCATACATTTCCCGATATTTCTGGTTACTCAGTGCTTTTATTGGCGTTGTGTAGATTACTCTTTGTTTATCACGTAATGACAATGCTATGGCATACCTGGAAATGATATATAATCATGAAAGTATTCATTTAGGTATTTTTTGCAGGTAATTTAATATTGAGCACACTTACATTTTTATAAAGGCATTAATATATGTAATATGTAATATGATAATTAGTGAATACTTGGAAAGGTAATGTCTGTGAATACATGAACATTGAACACATTAATTTTGAGACAGTACAATTACCGTATTCACCATAAAAAGTGCTCCCTCTATCCATGATAAGAGTTCTTAAAGTGTTATATAATTTTTGATGACAAATAGATCGAAATCGATGAAGTAAAATGTTATTATTAAGCGTTAATCTTCGTTAATAGGAAAGGAAATAAAATTGAATCTGTACAAATTTGGCTCGATTTTTACTGACGACAATATCATACCTTTTTTAGGTACAATAAAAAAGCAAATTCCTTACCTTGGCACACTTTTTACAGCGGAAATGATAAAGCAAATTAATTATTCATCTGTTCATTGTACTGCCCAATGATTATGATTCTACTATAGCTAAATTGGCTTACTCTGCACAGACAGTTTTTCCAGCTGATGTATGGGCAGATACCAAGACAGATTCCTTATTCTCAAGGCACAACACGGCTTCCTTTTGGAATGGATCCAGTATAAATGGGTATTCTTTGGGTGGTTTACCAGTTGGTGGTTTCAGAGGCATGAATTCCGCATCAGGTGGGATTGCCACCTGGAATCATTAATGATAAAAATGTACTGGTTTAGATCTGTACTAACTATCTACTATTAAAATAGCCCAAAGAATATTTCTACAGATTCTTCAGAATTTAATGTTTATTTTCTCCAAGGTAACATAAAACAACAACAATTACTGATTGACAACAAAATGGAATGCTTAAAGACTGATTATCTTTTTGATTCTCTGACAATAGATCAATTTTGATAAACAAATATCATTCAGGCTGCCGATCTCATTCAGTACAAGACATACATGATTTGGCTTAAATCCATTATCATATGCTGCATTATTAAGCAAAATAGCTAGTTTACCTCATGTGTACATGATTCCTGTGTTTCTATTGTATGGACCTGTATTCTTGGGAGTGATTCTTGGAGACTGAAAGTATTTGTGGCACATTCACACAATAATGGCATGTTTTGTATATTGAATTATTATTGTATTCATAAAACACATACAATAATTTCGAAATAATTCTTCAGTTATTTACTGATGTATTATTTTGAATATATCACTTGGACCACTTTGTCAATATTAGTTCTTTTAAAGTTCCCATTAATAAGTATAATGCAATAATAATTTTATAGTTCTTTTAAAGTTCCCATTAATAAGTATAATGCAATAATAATTATATAGTTCTTTTAAAGTTCCCATTAATAAGTATAATGCAATAATAATTATATAGTTCTTTTAAAGTTCCCATTAATAAGTATAATGCAATAATAATTATATAGTTCTTTTAAAGTTCCCATTAATAAGTATAATGCAATAATAATTTTATAGTTCTTTTAAAGTTCCCATTAATAAGTATAATGCAATAATAATTATATAGTTCTTTTAAAGTTCCCATTAATAAGTATAATGCAATAATAATTTTATAGTTCTTTTAAAGTTCCCATTAATAAGTATAATGCAATGATAATTAAATAGTTCTTTTAAAGTTCCCATTGATAAGTATAATGCAATAATAATTATATAGTTCTTTTAAAGTTCCCATTAATAAGTTTATGCAATGATAATTATATAGTTCTTTTAAAGTTCCCATTAATAAGTTTATGCAATGATAACTATATAAAAACTGCTACTCTATCCAAAGACATACTTGACTTCTTCCATCTCTTTAACCCTTTTACTATCGGGACCATCATCATCTTTATTTTCTCTCTTCTGACCTATCACAGAGCGCAGCAACTCTTCTGCCCTGAAAACAAGTGACATCAAAAATGAATTATACAGACTACTGGCACAGAAATGTATTAGTGTAGTCATCAATTTATCTTGTGCTAGAGTGTTTCAAATTCATCTAAAACTAGAATGAAGGACCCACGGTCCTGTGCTCACACAGTTTGGAACCTCCAGAGTAACGTATATCCTGACTTTCAAACAAAAATATTGATTTGGATTTGTAGTCTTGAACTTTGAGAAACTTAAATAGCAAAGTTGTGTGACCTAGTTTGATGACCTTTGACCTTGACAATTTTACTTATTCAGAGCTCAGAAAGGTCTTTTGTGATTAAGCTGACCAAAATTTACATCCAAAAATCAATTTGAAAAATCAACTTTTTTGACCTTTCGAAGGTTACTGAAGGTCAAGTAAATAATGTCAGATTTGAACTCCTGGCAACTTGTAGATGATTTTCAAAAAAAATTTGGTCAAATTGAAGAAAGTTGAAAAATAACTTATTTTTACTGTTTTTTGACGACGCTGACATATATTAAGCAATATGTAGGGAATGCTTAAATCTAGCAATGATGTAACTCATTGCAAGAAATGATCAAGTATAAGGCAAACTTTGAGAAACTTGTCAATCACAAAACCCGCCATTGACTTTATACATGAGAAAGTTTCCTGAAAATGATTTTGTCCTACTTTTTGTCAAATTTTATAGAGTAAACACCAAAAACTGTAATTCCCAGAGCTTTGAAATCTTCAGAGGACATAAGTTACATATACAGCAACTACTAAAAGTTATTTGAAAGTTCTACTTCAACAAAGTGTCTAGTATTTACAGAAAATTTGACTTTTTGACGTCAAAATCCGCAATTTCTCGGAAACCGGGCGAACTTGGGAAATGGCGATGATAGGTCAAATAGGCATTATGGATATGCATAAAATGAATGTAGATATGACTCAATCCGAATAGCAGTTTTAATTTGTGCGGCCAATGTTGACGGACGGACGGACCAACGGACGGACGGACCAACGGACGAACGGACCAACGGGCAGACGGACCAACGGACGGACGGACGCCTGGTCGATCCCATAGGCTCACTGTGTGAGCCAAAAGTTGGCGTGGAGTAGCAAATACAACCAATGATCAAATCACTAATAATATATGTATGAATCCATGAAACAGAAGGTTAAAGTAAAATGCCAATGTCAAAAAGTGGCCATTTTGAATTTGGTGAATGACTTGACAAAATTCATGTGGTATCTTTAAACCATTGATATCAGCTAAACGAAGTAAAATTTGGATTCTAAATATTTTGCCATACAAACTAAGTTCTGATCATGAACAACTGCAGTATAACCTGTCGGGTAGAACATCTTTTGTAAAGAACGCCTGTCTACAAGGAAATTTTCAAAAGAAACAAATATTTTTCTATTGACTTAGCTTACATGTTAACAAACTCTCTCTGTAAGGAACAACTGTCTTCTATGAGAAAGGAACAGTGTTTTAGGGCAAATTTTGGAAATTAACTTGTATACAAGGAACATGGAAAACTGATTATACTGTCCATCCCATTGTTTTTCAGAGGTGCAAATAGCTTAAAGCCCCACTTTGATTAATTTAGAAGAAAAAAGGAAAAATTAATCATTGAAACATGTTACTCACATACTCAAATAAATATGATACAAAGTTTGATTTGCAGTAATATTAAACCAAATGTCTATTTTCTAAAAATCACAAAAGTGCATACTTTATTCAAGGAAAACGAAAGATTTTTACAATAATGTATTATTTTTCTATAAGAATGGTTACCATTCTTATTATTTGGGAGAATTTAAACATTTTTCACCCATTTTTGCACTTTGAATAATTAATAACTTCACCAATTTATAACATATTGTTAATCTTTTGGGAGATATTGTATTTGATATTGTAAGGAATAGATTGGTAGGTCAATTATGAACATTGCTTGTAATTTTGTCACCCCCTATAGATCTGATTCTGCCTTTAAACATCACATGCCTCCAAGTAACCAATTTGCAGAATGTTTTGGAATCAGACGAGCGTTGCAATATAACATCACAGTGACACAAGAAAAAATCAACAAGATTGAAAAGGAGTTTGATTTAGTTATAGTAGTTGAGTATATAGAGGAAAGTCTGATTTTGTTGACCAAATGCTCAGATTTAACATTCGAGGACATAGTCATTCTCAAAAGTGCTAATGTTAGAAATGTTAAAAAATCCATGCCAACTTTAAATCCTAATGAATATGAGAACTTAATCAAATGGAACTTAGCTGATTCAATGATATACAATCATTTTAATAAAACTCAATGGGAAAAGATTAACAAGTTTGGCTACCACAATATGGCTTTAAAAATCAAAGAATTTAACATGGCTAAAACTTTAAAGCAGAAAGAATGTGACCCTGTTCAAAGGAACCCTAATTTGACATAAGATTTGAAAACAAAACATGACTGTATTATAGCAAACCTGGATTATATAGCTGCTAATAAATATTTCAGGAAAAGATGACAGGGAAATGAATCTATGATATTTAAAATGCTCAAAAAACCTGTAAATATCCTCCAGGCAAATATGGGGAATAGCATGAAAATGTGAAACATGACACGGTTGAACAATATCGTAACCCTGAATAAAAGATAGCTAGAACATTTACTCAAAATGCTCAAAAACTAATCAGTTCAGTGATCTCCCCAGGAATTTTTTCCAACAGAGTCCAAATTGTTTAAGGCTAAATAAATTGGCGCTCGCAATGCTATATCTAGTTTTCCATTAGATGCCATTGTTAAAAAATTTACTCTCACAATAACTTATAAACACAAAGTCAATTGTGGTTTTATGTTGTTAACTCTTAAAAGCAATTGTATACTGACAATAGGTGACTCCATGCTGTAAAAAAGTCCCTGTAATTATTTATTGAGAAGATTCCAAGGAGGAATGGCAGCCAGAGTTCAACATCGATATTGTTGATTCCCGTTGCCACCAACGTGAAATTGCAAATCTCCCGTTCTAAACACAGATCTGAAACTGATCAGGTATCTGAAGTAGACTAAGTAGCGCTTGTTTTGTATGCGTGCTATATACGTTACTGTATTAATTCATTGGCTTTGCATTCACTGTTGCATTGTGAAAAATATCGCTAGCTTAAACTCTCAACCAATGATGCCAGCTTTGTTGGAGAATATCGTTCATTCTTTATGTAGCCGTAGAAACGTACAGGCACGATAGGCAACATCGCACTACTTGGAGATTAAAGAATATCAAGTTGGAACTATCGCTTCCAATCCTCCATGGGAAGATTCATTAAATCACAAAATGCATCATTTTCACAATTTTTTATTGTAATAAGTATTATATCATCGCAAACTTGAATTGTTCTATCTTTCTCTCATCACCCTTGGTATACGCAGCTAACGAAAATTGACCGGTACGGGTCAAAAGCTGGACTGGTACGGGTTAACGGTTTTATTTGAATTTTAAATAGCCATAAGTTGCTCAATATTGACTTCCTCGTGTCTAATTTGAAATATATGATGCCTCCCGATGCTTTTAAGTACCCCAATTTTTTACAGATTTTTAAACGGACCAAAACTCTCTAAATGCGCATTTATGCTCTTTTCTCTCAAGAACGACTGTCTCATTTTCACGATAACTTTTATTAGTATGTGAGCTAGCACTGAAAAATGTACCGGCTTCTGAACAAATTGAAATTACTTGTTTCTTATGTATTTTTATGTGATACTTCAGAAACTTTTTGTCTGACGCGCTGTATCCGGGGCGAAATTTGTCAAAATTGGGTTTTTGACCCTAAAAAGGAAAATTACAGGGGGTACATTATCATCATTGAATTATTCATTCAGTTGATCTTCAATCATCATTATAATTTTATTGAGACTTGATGAGATCATTCTGAGGTAGTATATAAAGTTTCAACGGTCTGTCACTAATGGTTGCCATGGAAACCACAATTTTTGCTTAGAAAATCCTTAATTTTGGTAAAACCTGTACCTGTACATAATATAGAATATGGATTATTTTTTATATCAACAGATATTAGAACATTTTAGCACTCTAAAAATCACCAGGGCTGTCCAAACATTTGTTTAAAGTGAAAGAATATTGCAATTTATGTGACTGGTAAGTGTCAAAGACCATACAATTACATAAGTGGTCAAAAGTGGGCGTCGCCCTCATAATAGTAGTTGATTGCCATTCTCTATAAATACAGAGTTTTACTTGACTTTTGAGATACATTTATATTGAACTTCTTTGGTTATACTTAATATCAAGCATTTTAACATCTAAGTGTTATAGTTATTGCATGGGGATACAGGGGGAGGGGGAGGGGGGGGGGGGCTAGTAACAGAATTGGGAGGGGGCAGAGCTTATCAGTCTTAAGTATAAATCTCATCTTCATGGTTCTAGATTTCATAGGGTACATCTTCTTGGTCTTATTATATTCATCTCAATATAGAAGATATTAGAATTTACATGGTTGGTAAGTGTCAAAGACCATAGAATAAAACATGTGATCAAAAGAGGGCGTCGCCCTAATCATAGTATATGGTTCATTCTCTATAAATACAGAGTTTAACTTGACTTTGGAAGTATATTTACTTAAAAACATCTTTGATTTATACTTAATGTCAAGCATTTCTGGTAAGTTATATATATCTAATTGTAATAGTTATTGCCTGGGGGTGGAGGAGGGGGGGAGTAACAGAATTGGAAATGGGCAGAGCTAATTTTTTACATTAAAACTTCTTTGATTACACTTAATATTGTAATAGTTATTCCCTGGGGGGGGGCCAAGGGGGGTAGTAGCAGAAATGGAAGGGGGCAGAGCCAATGGCCAGTCAGTCTTAAGTATTAATATCATAGTCTGATCATTTTCATTCACCTCCTGATGTTAATATATTAACAATATCATATGGAAGAATATACCACTACACTTGCAGATTTGAGAATCATTCAGTTGAATGTGTCTATATGGCGCTCCACCT